AATCCAAAAATAATTTTATACTAAAAAATTATTTTAGAAAGCAATAAAAAATTTATCTCAAATAAAATTAAATGCTATCTCCTTGTTAAAAAAACACTAAAAATAAAAAATAAAAAAATAAAAAAAAAGCTATCTCCTTGTCGGTCTAGTAAATGAAAAATATGTTTTTTTAGTTTCATTTTGGCTATGAATATTCTATTCAGAACATCATTTATTCATTTGTCTATTTTTTATTAAAAATAAATATAAAAATAGAAATAAGAAAGAATATAAAAAAATTGTTTTATAAATAAAGTTTGGTTGTTCATGAAGTATTGTTTGATATGAATATTATTGTATTTTAAAATTAAAAAAAAAATTCCGTTTGAAATATCTTAAGATATTTTTAGTTGGAGTGCTTTCACATGCCTATTTATATTTTATACTATTATAAAAGGATTTAAGATTCTTCTCTTCACTTTGTATTTCAATATTAAAATAAATATCTTTCATCTTTTCATCCCATATTTTTCCACTTTTTTATTTAATTTCTCCCTTATTTAGACCTAAAATGTCTCTTCATTTTCGTACCTCTTAATTCAAGTGATGTCTCTTCAAATCCCCAACAACATCAATCTATGTTCCTCCCGATTTCGATTATTAAACCGCATCTCAATTTGTAAGACAATTTCTCTCCAAATTCCTAACATCTTTCAATAGACATTCGTTGGTCTACAAATCCCTAATAACATCCTTACATAATTTTTTTCGTCTAAAATGGTTATATATGTTTGATTGTGTTGTGGTTTGTAGATTATGTACTAAATATTTTAAAATATTTGATATATAATACACATATTATGCATCAATATATATATATATATATACACACTTTATAATATTCATTTTTTTTCTGGGATATATTTGTTTGCATATGAGCGTATTATATTTCTTTTTGCTGTGTTTTTATCTTTTTGTTGTTTGATTTGAAGCTCAAGTGAGAAAATCAAAAATAAAATTTTGAGTGATTTATAATACACGGGGACCTCAATTTTTACTATATTTCGAACTCAAGTTAATTAGACTATTTACAACTCTCACATTTTGATCACTCTCATTGCACTTGCATTGCTCTCTAATAACATATATGTGATTAATCTCACATATTGTAGTATTGTATTTGGCATGTATTATACGTCTATAAATATATACTTGTATCATGTAATATACAAGCATGATGAATACAAGAATTCAATTCACCTGCATTCATTACTCTTAATTGTTCATATATTTCTTCATGGTATTAGAGCTTTGGACGAAGCATTGACTGTTGAATTAGATTCTGAAGGAGTGTAGTTAAGATTGAGCATGTTCTAGCATGTTGATGCTGAATGACCTCTCTTATTGCATATTTGGCATATGAATGGACTTCGCTTAGTTTGCATTGATGATCGACCTTGTCCTCTACATCCGCGACCTTTATACGAATATAGAGCAGTTGATGAATCCGCTACAATCAATTGGATTAATGAATCTGCATTTAGATTTATTTCTTCACTAATCAACAATGAATATAGATCATCTAAATTGATCAGATGAAGTTTTGTTCTAATTGTTGTCTTGAACACCTGGTACGATGGTGGAAGTCCATTGAGAGTGTACAATATAATGTCTTCGGTATCAACATTAGAGCATGCTACTGCTATATTATCAACTATCAGTAAGATATTGAGCCATGGTTAGATTTTTCATCTTCATATTGTGTAACTCTTTCTTGAGTTGAATTATCCTTGATCTTCTAGACGTATGTAGACGACATTCTATTATTGTCCAAATTGTGGAACATTAATCATGATGTATTACATACGGCAATATCGACGACGAGATCGTAGAGCATATAGCAGCTACTAAATTTTTATCAATTAGAAGCCATTCAGTGTGCCTTGGATTTACAACAGCTGTATTATCTGTTAGTTGAATCAAACAAGACAGATGAGCTGCTTTTGATAGAAGAAAAGCTCAGAATTTGTTTGCATTGAATAGTTTTAGTACTAGAAACTTCCAAATGGAGTAATTTTCTTAAGAAAGCTGATTGGAAACAATTGCTTTGATGTTTGAAATGACGAATTTGAGTGAAGACAGAATATTGATTTGTTTAGTAAGAGTTGCAGTCGGAGGATCACCGACTTGTGATGAAGAAGATATAGTCATGGCAGAAGGGTGGGTTTTTAAACTAGCTCTAATAGATGTATTTCTTCAGCTGCATTCATTACTCTTGATTGTCCATACGTTTCTTCACTCTCATTGTTGCCCACTCCCAACGCCACATTATCTTCATTGTGCATTCGTGCCCACCCATGTTGCATCTACCCACCTAGCTACTTCCATAGACAATTCTAATATATTTTTTTTAATTTATAAATAGATGCACTACAATAGAACTAGCATAATTATCATAATTATAGTACTATTAAAATTTTCTTAAAACTTGTTTTTTTGTTAATCACAACAATATGAATGTTTAACATGAGTTTCACATAACTTAGCTAAATTAGTAAATTAGTAATATAAAGTTTTTCCTTAAAAATTTACTCTAACTACTAAAGATGAAAGTATGAGAAGTTTATGGCAACCCTCCTTTAACAAACGTTTAGGGGATGCTTCAAATTGTTGGGATTTATTGCAAAAAAAGATATTATATATTGTGAGGGATTTATAATACTTCACATAGTAACACATCATCAACATCATCACCATCCTCACTTAAGCTGTTGCTCATGGTTTCATAACCTTCATTAACAACGAATTGTGGTTGAGTGGATGGACCTACGGCCTAAACTTATTCTGCATTTCACTTCATAACACAAACATACGCAAGTTAACTACAAGATTATAAATGTACAAAATTTTAATTTCAAATTACTATATTTTCATAGGGAACTTACTAAGCATGTACAGGTTCTATCGGTGTAAACATCGAACCTCCTTCCACCCTTTCGTCCAAACTAAATGATTTTTGGACATTGATGATCATATTCTCAGCATCATTGTAGTTATGTTTAGCTCTTCAACCTCTACATATAATAGAATAATTTATCCAATAGCATGCGACAATACCATTTCACATACCTCATCATCGTCCACATGCGTCACAATAAAATCACTCCCTAATGACAAGCGACAAACTAACATCACTGTGTGCTTAGATGTATCACACTTAACTGCTTTCAACACCTTTAACTTTAGCTGCTCTAACTTCGTGTTAACTAGCACTTGCAAGGGACGACACATGTCCCCAACATACGTCGGTGCAAACTTAACGTATAAAGACAATTCTTTGTCATACATAAGAACAAACGACTGTCCTTGTCTATTCATAACAGCACTACTACGTTTCACTGAAAAATTCGTACGAGTACCTATCACAACCATATTCCAAATTTTGCTTACCATAACAAAATTATGTAAACTGACTATCTATTTATAAAACTTATAGAAATGAAAATTAACCAAAACATAAAGATTAACAAACAACTTCCATTTAGGAAAAAAAAAACTTCTCATACAAGACAAAATATCTAACAAAATACCACAAATGAAACATGAAAAATGACATTTCCAAAGTCTCTACATTCACATTTCACAAAAAATGCACTTAAAACATTCTAACATTCTTCTGCATACGCATCCACAAAATCAGAGCCTTTTAAATTTCTTTTTGACAAATAAATAAAAAAAAAATCACAAAAAAAGGAAAAGATATTAAAAAATGGGTAAAACTTCTCCAAAATCTTGCATAATAAGAATACACTACTAAATCAACTAAATTACAGCACAAAGAAGGAAAAAAATGCGAAACTTACCTCAAATACGCGAGTTCCGCCGGATCTAGGAGCAGCCGAGGGAAGACGAACGGGCGAGGAAGATGAATAGAGAAAGTCACGGGTTTAAATTAAATAAAGTAAGTCATATGTTTAATGGACGACTTTGACTAGTATAAAATTTTACAATTTAGTTGATTAAGTGTTTAAATTGTAATTAAATGATAATCACTTTTAAAAAATTTTCCTAGTAGTATAGATTTGGAACTCAGCTAGATTAGACAATTTACAACTCTCACGTTGTGACCACCCTCATTAAGTGTTCAAACAATTTTTTTTTTTAAATCGACTCACTACAATAAATCTAGCATAATTATCGTAATTCTAATATTCTTAACATTATCTTAATACATTAAAAAAGATTTATAACATTCAATCGCTTTTTTTCTTTTTTTTTTTTGTTAATCACGACAATATGAATGTTTAAATGAGTTCCATATAATAGAAAAAACAGTAATTTTAAGTTTTTCCTTAAAATTTACTCTAAATACTACAGACGAACGTATGAGGGGTTTATGGCAACCCGCCTTGAAAACAAAAACTTTAAGAGATGCCTCAATTGTTGGGATTTATTGCAAAAAAGAAAAATATGAGATACGACAAGTGAATGATCTCATCCATGAGAAATTATTACGTGCGGTCACCAGATCGTCTAGAGGCGAATCAGGATGCACAAAGTCACCTAGCACACAGTGATACAAAGCTCCGGAACAGAACCAAAATGGTGATGTGGCACGTTCTGATTCGCCTCCGGACGACGTCCGGTGACTGTACGTAATAATTTCGCCAAACATCCAATGCAACATCGAAGTTAAGTTATAGAAAACTCATGATATTTTTGAAACTTCAACAATTAAATATTGATAATCACTCTCTCAATGCTCTAACTCATCAAATTAGCAAATGATCTATATATATATATACTTTTTATATATTTGATTCCACTATCTTTCGCCACCCACCTGATCATAACATGTCGAATAATCTTTTTTCCCAAGAAGTTTTAATTTATCTTGCAACTTGCAAGCTCTAAAGTTATCCCCTCCTTTTTGTTCATAATTTTCAATAGAGAATATATTACTCATTTATTAAATTTATCTCACACTAAATACATAAAATAATAATTACAATTATTGACAAATAATTTGAGGGCCCGCATTCAAAATTATGAATTAAATACGGAAATTACATACAAAACTTTATGATTTATATGAAATTATGTATCATAAGACCTTATATAAATCAAAGAATAAGTTCTTAAAGGTAGTTTGGAGGTAGTGAAAAGGTGGAGGAATATTGTGAATTGCAATAAGGGCCGTCCCTTTATTAGCAATTCTTTATTCTATTAGATGAAATGCTTCTCAAGGAACCTTACTAATGGAACCAAAGCTAAGTCATCTACAATTAATATCAAAAGGAATCCATGATTACACCAATATAGGTTTGGCATTTGAACAAGGCATAGATGTTTATAAAATGGGCCAACAAGCTTGTTTCTTTTGGGTCAAAAGAGAGCGAAAATCAAGTCCCACAAATAAAATGAAATAATCATTCCTTGAAAATCAACTATTTTTTATTAATTTATTTTATATGATAATACATTTAACACTAAATAAAAAATATAACTAGGTTTATTAATATTTTTTTATCAGATCGGGCAAGTAAAAGGGCTGAGACCTCTTCAAACCTGCCCATCGGCCCGCCCACTCCTTAGTAAACCTGAAACTGTGGCGGGAACTCTTGTCTTTATGGTTAACTCCAACGGCAATTTAAATTATTTCTCCTTTCTAACGGTTATCTTACCTCCATTATAGTCACAAGTCAGAATAATCTTTTTTTTTTTTGTGTGAAAGCCTCGTGGAATCTCACTTTCCTCTTCCCCAAACTCTCCTTTCTTCTCTTCTCCAAGCTAGACAAATAAAATTCAAGCATAAAGTAACCAATCCATCAAACTCCATTAACAAAGAGGATAGGAGAGAAGAAATTGGAGAGCAAAAAAATCCCAATTCACAGATGGGTTTGTGCTTCACCAAAACTTATGAAATACCGATCGCCACGGCATCCGTTAAGCGCCCAACCCAGCCTCCACCGCTACCACCACTACCGCCACTACCATCTCTACCACCTCCATCACTACCAAAGCCAAAGCCTATGCCCTCCTCTTCTTCCTTAACCAAAACACCTTCTTCAGCTAACATCGGCCCCATTCTTCAAAAACCGATGTGTGATATCAACTCCCTCTTCATCCTCGAGAAAGAGCTCGGTCGTGGCCAATTTGGCATCACTTACTTATGTACCGAGCGGTCCACTGGCATCAAGTATGCTTGCAAATCCGTCTCAAAGAAAAAACTTATAAGCAAGAGTGACATTGATGATGTGCGACGTGAGGTGTTTATCCTTCAGCATCTTACGGGGCAACCTAACATAGTCGAGTTCAAAGGGGCATATGAGGATGTTCAAAACATTCATTTGGTGATGGAGCTATGCTCTGGAGGGGAGCTCTTCGACCGAATCATCACCAAGGGGAGCTATTCGGAGCGAAAGGCGGCTAAGATATGTAGGGGAATTGTAAATGTGGTGCATGTGTGTCACTTCATGGGAGTGATGCATAGAGACCTGAAACCAGAGAATTTCCTCTTTGTGAGCAAGGATGAGGATTCTGATCTCAAGGCCATCGATTTCGGGCTTTCGGTTTTCATCGAGGAAGGTTAGTTCTTGAATTGATTGCAAGAATTTGATTTGGGCCAAGAAGAGTGTTTTTTTAATGTGGAAAACCAGTGCTGCAGGTCGTGAGTTATAAAAAGTTCAGAGGAAATATGCGACAGAAGTAATAGGATTGATTATATTGGGTTTAGTTGCTGTGTAGAAATATGAAATGTTTGGCCCTCAGTAGATTTAACCTTTAGTGATGAAAATGAGTAATTTAATCATTGATAAATGTAGTTTAGCTTTGATTCTATAACTCTACTTGTAACTTTCAATGTGTTAATGGTTGTTTGCTAATGTAATAAACAGGCAAAATTTATAAAGAAATTGTAGGAAGTGCTTACTATGTGGCTCCTGAAGTATTGAGAAAAAACTATGGTAAGGAAATTGATATTTGGAGCGCTGGAGTCATCTTATATATTCTTCTTTCTGGTGTGCCTCCATTCTGGGCAGGTAAAACAATTCACCCTTTTTTTCACTCTTTCACATCATTTTTGTATGTTACTTACTACATAATTGATAAATAGACTAACAACATTCAGAAATGCATACAGAAACAGAAAAAGGCATATTTGATGCTATATTGCAAGGGGATTTGGACTTCACAAGTGCTCCATGGCCTTCCATTTCTCAGGGGGCAAAAGATCTTATCAGGAGAATGTTAACACAAGATTCAAAGAAACGAATTACAGCAGCTCAAGTCCTTGGTACATACTATCTAATTTTCATTAAATATGTAATTTCATAAAGTTTTGTATCATTAAGTTCTTTGAACTTTCTTTTGTATTATAAACTCAGAGCATCCATGGCTGAAAGAAGATGGAGAGGCTTCTGATAAGCCAATTGACAGTGCAGTTTTGAATAGAATGAAACAATTCAGAGCAATGAATAAGATGAAGAAACTTGCACTGAAGGTCGTGATTCACATAGTTTATTATGTTTGTATTGATATTTTTCTGAAACTCAACTTTTGCCTGATTTAGAGAACATAATTTGATTGTTTTAAGGTCATTGCGGAGACTCTGTCAGAGGAAGAGATCAAAGGATTGAAGCAAATGTTCAAGAACATGGACACCGATAGGAGCGGCACGATTACCTATGACGAATTGAAGCATGGGCTCAATAAGTTAGGATCAAAGCTTTCAGAAACTGAAGTCCAGCAGCTTATGGATGCCGTAAGATTGCATTGAGACTTTGATATTTTTGCAATATAAATTTTGACTTGGGAAGTATTTATTAAGTATACAACAATCTTCATTGTTGTTTGGTTTCTTACAGGCCGACGTTGATCAAAGTGGCACCATTGATTATATTGAGTTTATCACTGCTACCATGCATCGACATAAACTGGAAAAGGATGAGCATTTATACAAAGCATTCCAGTACTTTGATAAAGATGGAAGTGGGTAAGACGATTTAGAACCAAAATTCTCTTTTATCATAGTTAAGACAATAAAAAAACAGAACAAGCATATATACAATGTTATGTTAATTGAACAAAACAAACTAAGATGTTTAAACATTTTCAGTCAATTGATGAATGCATTATGTTGCTACTAACTCCTGTAAATTTTATTATCATGATGAAGATTTTAGGGAGAAATTTACGATACTAAATTCTCAGGCTTATAACATAAAAATTACATCCTCCCTTCATAACATAATAATATGCATATTTAAGCTTCATTTGGGACAGCTTTTTTATCATTTCTTAAAACAGTTCTTTAGTTAAAATTAATTTTTTTATACTAAAAAGCTGCTTTAAGAAGCAGTAAGAAAGCCGTCCCAAACAAAACCTTACTCTTTTTTTTTTTTCATGATAGATATATTACAAGGGATGAATTGAGACATACCATGAAACAGTATGGTATGGGTGATGAAGCAACTATCAATGAAATATTAGATGATGTTGACACTGATAAAGTAAGTTAACCTTTCCATTATGCTTTAATTTTGTTTAAATGAATGTTTTTTTTTATGTCAAGTGTGTTTCTAAAGCATTAATTTCTTCGTTCTTTTGTTTCCTTTTTCCTTTGCTTGGATTTTGATAGGATGGAAGAATCAACTATGATGAGTTTGTAGCTATGATGAGGAAAGGAAGCCATATGTGAAATTGAGTGTTTTTAGTTGTAATGATGAAATTAGTATCTTTATGGTTATGTGCTTAGTTAAAGAAGTCATGTTGATTATTAAGCTCAATGTTCTGTATGCAATCTTCTCTTTTTTAACTCTAGATTTCAGCACAAGATTGGTCTAAGCTTGGGGTTTATTAATATGTGTTGTTATGTTATGAATGAAGAAAAATAAAGTTTATGAATTAGCTTTAGTGCTTGAAAATGTAATGGTTATATAGAAATAAAGTTGTGATGTAAATTAAGGTTTATGCTTGATATTTACAATTAATTGACTATATTGATGTGAAAAGAAAGCATGTTCAAAATTTCTAACTTTTTCCAAGAGGAAGAAGATACTTACATAAAAAAGCATTTGATAAGGCCACTCACCATTGACTAATGCTAATTTCTGCCATCATCCTTTTGTTGTCAACCAATATTGATGTTTGTTGTGGCCACTACCTAACAACATTTACCAACATCGACGCTTGTTGTTGCCATCACCCCACTCCATTTTGTCAACAAATGTTTATGTCTATCATTGTCGAAATTTCGATGTTTTCTCATCTTTTATCGTGCAATGCCTATCAATGACAAACTTTTGGCATTTCTTAGGCACCAATATTGAACAATAGTCTCATTAACTACCCAATTTCTCTCGTATCATGAGAATAATTGATTTGACTACAAAACATCCAATGTGAAGCAACATCTGATGTACATCTTTTCGATCACCCAATCTGATGTTCCATAAGTGGAGCAATCAAGTTGATTGTGCACATTACCAATCTCCATTATTAATGCTCCTTATAAATTGTAGTCCAACATCTATTAATGACTAATGCCAGATGTCCATCAATCATTACGTCCAATGTTGGTCTAATCAGTTGTATGTTCACTCTCCTATTAGAAGAATGATTGAGCCTAGCACTGACCATTGCCCAAATTCAAACATTTCTAATGCATAAAAATTGAACACATAATGACGATCGACAAACAACATTTGTTAGTCATTGACGTCCAACACCCTTCTTATTGGTTTGCTTATTTTCACTCCGATTAATAAAAAGTTCGAGCAAAAAATCGATCGTCACATAACATATATGAGCTATTGACATATCTTAACGATGTTCTCGATTTATCAATCTCGTGCCTTATAAGGAGGTCGAGCTAGTCAAATATTTTACGTTGGCCTCATTTCTTATCAATTATTGAATGTTGCGTACTAATGACCAACATATGATGTCCATTAATCACCGACATCCAACACATATCCTTGATTAATTATCTCCTCCCTTGATATAACTATTTGTGACATAACACATAAATAGCCATCACATGAATTTAACATTCTTAGTCGATAATGATGCGACACATATCGATAACCAACATCTTATATCTATTAGTGACTAACATATGACGTTTTCTCAATTGCTAATTTCCTCTTAGTCATGCAATCAACAGAATAGTCAAATCAACCATCCACCATCCCTAGACTTCTAAAATCCTAATCAAACAACGCTCAATGCTTGCTAATGACAAACATATGAGAAAGACATCTTTAAAATATTCTGCTCACACTTTAATTAGGCCAAGCCTTAAAAAATTGTCTCATTCTTGAATTTTTTTACACTACATATATATATTTATTATTCTCAATTTTTTCTATCTCTATAATATTATCGTTCAGGTTTTGTTTGAGTCGGATTTCTTTCTGCTTTTTAAAATAGTTTTTTTTTTTACAAAATTAAAAAATTTGTACTAAAATGCCGTTTTAAGAAGTAGAAAGAAAGCCATCCCAAACGAAATCTAAGTGGTTGTTTGGTTGGTTGAAGAAGGAATGAAATGTATTTGAAATATTTCTGAGTTATTTAGACAAGTAATAAATAAATGTGTTTTTACTTTTTTTTTTTGCTTGTAGTAAATTGAATGCAGTGTAAAGTTCAATATTGTGGTTGGTGACGGCAACGTGTGGCGACGAAAGCGGAAGCTTGCAGTGGCAAAGACGGTGAGTTTTTTGTATATTTGAAAATTGACCAAATTTGACCAATTTTAAATATACGGGATTTGAACTAGAGGGTGAATTTCTTACACTTCAAAAATTTACTCCGCATTCTTTTAACTTCAAATCAAACATTAATATTTTTAAAATTCCTACATTTGAAATATTTTAGGTCTCTTAAAAAAAAAAACAAATAGCCCCTAAATATTAAAATAATAAATTATTCTCTTATTTTTGCTAACGATATTCAGAGATGAATGAGAAGATGTCATGTTATTCGTTTCTTTTTTTTTGTAACGCAGCTATATACCACTCGGTATAAGATGATATGACGCTCGTCTCTAAACCGTTCGGCGACCGCACAAAATTATTTATCCTCTAAGAGGCATAAGAGGCACTGCCCACCTAAATCTGCACGATCGTGGGACCACCAAATATAGATGATTGAAACATACGGAAACGAGTAGGCCCCACAGGCTCAATTAAAGGAGCCAATTAAGGAGCTACCACAGCTCGTCATCAAATCTTGATAATGAGCTTTATTCATCAAAAAAGATTTTTCTCTTTTTAGTGATTATTAAAATGTAATTTATCAAAAAATAATATATATTAGAAATTTACTAATTTAGAACATGAGTTGATGATAAGAACGTAACCAATTTGTTATTATTAAATAACTATGTATCATCAAAAAATTGTCTTCATCGGACACGAATCTCAAGGCAAAATCAAGTTGGAAACTTCAAAAATTAAATCTGGGATCACCTAAACTCCAATTTCAGCAAACTTAAAGTCAAAATGAGCGTCTAAAAAATACGAACACAACGATACCAAATTCGACTCAATCCGAGCCCAAATGAATCCAAATTAAGCACCCGAAGTGCTGTTGGAAAGTTCAAACCATAATTTGAGTTACCAAATGGTTTCCAAATATAACGTTCTTATAGTCGAATAGAGCGGCTCAATGAGATGAATCCAACGAGCCCAAGATCGCGAAATTCCGACATCATTAAGAACTTCAAATGTCTGACGAATAGCGCACGATCATGGGATTCAATATCGATCGTCCATTCAACCACTCCCTATTTACCCCTGATCTCTCACCTATTTACAAGCCATGCCACTCCATAATATCTATAAATAGATCCCTCATTTCTCTTGAGAGGGGACTCCAAACTAGAAGCGAGAAGATGAGAATAAGAAGAGAAGGATTGGAGGGAAGAACTCCTCCATGACCACTGTCGGAATTCTGCCCGACGCCCGAGTGACGCCGGAATTCTGCCGGACGCCAGAGTGACGTCGAAATACTGCCAGATGTCCAAGTGACACCAGAATTCTCCCCAACGCCAAAGAGACGCCAGAATTCAACCTGACGCTCAAGTGACGCCATAATTCCGCCAATCTCCAAGTAACGCCGGAACTCTGCGCGACATTGTATCTTGATTTCAATCCAGAAGTGATTCATTGTAATCTGATCGTCCTAACTTTTACGGACGAGTCAGCCTCTTGTATCTCAAACAAACACTACTGGAAATTTTTAACTGGGCGTGGCCCTGTGGTTGTTTCCCTTTTCAGGGTTTTCCACGTAAAAATCCCGGTGTTATTTTATCTTATGTTTGTGTGCTGAATATCCGTGAAACGCTAAGGCAAATACTTTCTAACTCTACCGCAGCTTATATTCTAGTCTGCAACAAATAATAATAATTTTCTATATTTATTTAGAGTATAAAATGAAAATTAACAATTTTTTAAGGGAGTTTTAAGAAAAAATATTTGCAGAATTTGAATATGATTAAAAAAATATTTTAGAAAATGATAATTTTATCTTCATTTATTTGAAATGTAAAGTAAAAGTATCCACCATGAGGGAGCTTTGAGTGTATTTATAAAATTTAAAATCAGTATTATTATCTAATTATAACTATTCAATTAATGAGTTTAATAAATGCCAGTACTTAATTAAATCTCCTTTCTAACTCAAGAAACTAATTGATAGATTTAATCAATTTTATTACTTTTCAAAATATAGTTTTTCTTTGGTGTGCTGAACAAATGAAAAAGAAATATAATGTAAAATCTTAATGATTTTCTTTTTCACTCTCTAATTCATTTTTTATGTGTTGTAAATTTACCCAATTTTGAATGAATTCCTTTTTCATCACAAGCTCAGTACCCCTTGCCTCTTGCCTCTCATTGATCATCAATGCCTGCAGCCAATCATCGCCATTGCCTACTGTCGATCATCGCCGTGTACTACTGTCAATCACTACTGCCTACTGCCAACCGCGATATACTATCACCAGCAATTACCACAATGACTTATTGCAGCAGGCCACCACCGTTGGCCAACACCACCATTTTACTTTACATTTTACTTAAAAGCAAAAAAAAAAAAAAACCTCCAACAAACATTTTACACTCATACAAATAACACATAAAATATTTCAAAAATACTACATTCTTTTTAAATTACATTTCTTTTACTATAAATTCAATTTTTCATGTTGAAATATCTGCCTATTAAAAACTATTTTAGAAAAGAGCAACCTTAATTATAATTAAAATCATTAAACAATATTTTAATTAATTCTAAATCCAATTTGATGAAATTATTAACCCATCAAATCTATGTGCAACATTGATGAGGAAGATGGAATTTTCTCTTTTAAATTATTAAGTTTGAGTGATTAGTCATACAAATAAATAATAATTTATGTTCTCTTGAAAAATATATTTATATTCCTCATGATTAATCTCAATTGTCAAATTAAGAATGCTAACATTTGTGTCCTCCCTGCAGCATCAAATTGTGCTCAAGATGCACATTAGCCATCAAATTAGGGTTGATGAACTAATATGAATAGTGCTAATCTTGAGGTTTTGACATGAATTTGATTGAGATCATTTTCAACACTAATCTTAAGGCTATTAACATAAATAAAATAGACTAACGTTGATCTCAAAAAAAAAAAAAAGTTTCAAAAACATTTTTTTGAGTGGGTACTATAATGTGTCTCATGCCCACATAATACATGTCTAGATTCAATTTTGAATATTGGCATGACATTTTTGAAGTTTTTGGGCTGCTTTAGGTCATTTTTTAATATTTTGAACTCAATTTTGATACTTTCAGGTCATACACAACCTCTAAAGAAAATTTAACAAAGCAGATTATAAAAAATCAATCAATTTAAAGGAATGTATTTTACCTATAACGTTATTGTAGAATAGTTCGCAAGATAAGCTTATAAGAACTTAGAAACAAATGGACAAGCACTTCTAGAATGAGCACAAACTTTAAGGATGAGAAAGATTATAATTGGGAAAATTTCACTTGACTCACGATCTCAAGGAGTTGTCCATGTTAACATTTAGGGTTTGATGACACCTGGTAATTTATTTAAGATTATAATTTTGAATCCAAAATTTTTCAAGCATCAAGACTAAATAAATCAAAACTATTGTTATCTTTCGAGGACTTTCCCCAAACCTTTGAGAGGGGGGCTTCATCCCTAAAGGAGTAGAAATTATTGTGTGCGGATAACGAACGTCGTCCAAACATCAACCAGAATGCGCCACATCACCCCCTGCTCGGTACCCAGCTCGATACTGCTCGGTACTCAGCTCGATACTGGTCGGTACCCAACTTGGTACTACTGATGTGACACATTCTGATTAATTTTCTGATAGCAAATTATGTTCAGCATTCACACAATAATTTTTCTTTTATGTTCGTCATCCGCACAGAATAATTTATCTTTTAAATCCCTATCTCTTGTAATTCCTACAACAATAAAATTGCATAATCAACACTTTTTGTATGGCGTTGTTTTCAAAGCAAAGATATTTCAAGCATTGGCCAATAAATAATCGACATGCGCATGGGCCTAGCCACGTGCGAAGCTCTGGAATCACGCACTTGACGAGTGGTCCGGTCCAACACAAATATCTGCAAAATTTCAATTTTTCAACTATCGCTGCTGCAGATTTACAGTTGCATTGGCCGCCTGTTAAATAAAAAAAGAGGAGGAAAACTTTCCACCGGATTGAATGGCCGGCTTATTACGTCCTAGTGTCGCTTTCACCTTCGGACTTTCTTCGCCACGCACTATGTGAGAGAGGAGAGAAAGATGGGAGAGGTGAAAAAAAGGGTGTCCCACAGATTTCCAAGGCACAAATAGGCATTTATTGTGTTGTTGGTCGCCCTGCCTTCTCCGGTTTCTTTCACGTTCTAACGCCCCTTCTCCCGTTTACTTAGCCGCGAAGAATCCGTCTTTACTCTATTCTCTCTTTTTCTCTAGAACTGTATGTAGTCAAAAACCCATCTCTCACGTCAATCAAACATGGATTTCGTTACTGCATCTCCCCCTCTTTCTTCTCCGCCCAACGATGGAGTTGTCGGTGGTGGAAGAAGTGAAGGGGAAAGCTTTATGGCTTCCGAGCTTGTTGAGCGGCTCGTCGTTGGCGTTATCACCTGCGTTTTCGCTATAGGTATGTGAATTTGCCCTAATCTTTGTTATACTTTTCGCCCGTTTGACAGTTCGCCGCCGATTGATCAAAGAATCGTTTTTTTATGTTTTTTTAGTTTTGTTTGGGTTTGTTATCTCGCCTTTAATTGAATGATAGTGAGAGGAATTGGGGAATCTGCGCTTTTTAATTTATGCTGGGTTTTGTGGTTTTATGGTCCTGATTCACGCTCTCTAACCTTTAATGGAGAATTTTGGTTTTGCTCACACACTGCTTGGTGAAATTCCCCAGTGACTCGGTTCAACTGAAAAAAAAAATGCAATTTTTTTGGTGCAGTGGGAACCCCTATAGGTGCTGTTACAGGAGCAGTGATAGGCCTTGCGACAGAGACAGGGTTGTTTAGGGGAGCTGGAATTGGTGCCATTTCTGGGGCTGTCTTCTCCGTTGAGGCAGTTGAATCTTCTGTCGCCCTCTGGCATTCCAGTGATTCAGGAATTTGGAGTATCCTCTATGTGGTAAGTCAACTACAGAAACGAGTTGTAAGCTTTGAAAACATGAAATTGTAGCGTTCAACATTATTCATAACACTTCTTCTCCTGCCAAATTCCTTCCCTTTCTTTCCCTTGTGTTAATAAATCTCCTTTTATGGTCTGGAAAACTTCACCAAATTATGAATACCCAACCTTACGGCCTAAGGCCTTCTCCAACCGAACTCCAAAGGCGTGAATGGGGTCGCTCGCGAGTTCCACCCGAATGGCAAAACTTCCGCTTTTTGGTTGCGGCGTTGCACTGTTCACGGCTATTTTTCTGTCTCTATGGGAGTTGCCCAAGAAACGCATGAAAGAGAGGAAAAAGACAGTTACCTTCGGTGTAAAATGGAGTTCGATTGGACGGCATTTTTTAGTTTCACTGCATTTTGGAGTGAAAAATGAGATTTTCAGTTGGAGATGCCCTTGAAATAGATGTATTTTCATGTTTTAGTAATCCTTAAGCTGCAACATTAATTCATCTCCTTGATCTTCTTTCTCTTGTAGATTGACATCATATGCAGTCTTTTGAGTGGTAGAATTGTCCGAGAGAAGGTTGGTCCTGCAGTTATGAGCGCAGTACAGAGCCAGGTTACAGTTGAACTGAGCTGAGCAGTTTAGTTTTGATGGAAACACGTTCTTAAATCTTTGTGATCATTTTGATTATTGATTGTTTGCAGATGAATGCTTTAGAATCTCCTTATGTTGAAGCTCCAGATATCTTTGAAACTGGTGGAACTCGAGGCATGTCAAAGGATTCCGTTGAATCTCTTCCAAAGCTTAAAATATCTTCAGATAACATCATGGATTGCTCGGGAGAAAAGATTTGCTGTTCTGTTTGCTTGCAGGTTATCAAGCTTATTTAACATGAATAATTCTTGTTCTGTTCTATAATTATATACTGAGATCGTTTCATTGAACCTTCTTTAGGATGTCCAAGTTGGGGAAACAGCAAGGAGCTTACCATATTGCCAACATGTCTTCCATTTACCTTGCATTGATAGTTGGCTCTTCAGGCATGGTTCTTGCCCTCTATGCAGGAGAGACATTTAGATATGTTTGTAGATTCTTTTGATTCTTTTTTGCTGTTACAACTTCACTTCTCCTTCTTGTAAATCTAGATCTTTGTGAGTGGTCTTATCCTTTGAAGGATCCATGGATGTTTCTGGGAGCAGTTTTAGGTGTTCTATAGAGACTTTGCTTTCGTTTGGGACAGCATTCTTGCTGCTTCTTAAAGCAGTTTTATAGTACAAATTTTTGTACTAAAAAATTGCTTTAAGCAGTAGTAAAAAAAATCATCCCAAACGAAGCTTTTGTTTGAGGGGATCTTTGTATAAGTTTAGCTACATTATAAACCTTCCTTTAACATAAGAAATATGATGTTAATATGGCTTTAACATTGATACAAAGAGTCTGAACATACTGTTGGTTTTAAGATATAAATCATTGAAATCTAGCTCTAAAACCTAAATTTTTAGAGTTCTTTGAAACATTTGGAAAAATATTCTCATTTCTTTGATGTTCTTCAGTGATGAAATAGGGGATTGAGATTTGGAACTGCTTTAAAGTTTCTTTTTGGGACTGGTTAAGTTCCCCATTGTTGGTGTTCCAGTATGAACATATATGTGTATTTTCTCTGCAGTTCGGATAGCCATCGACCCTGTCAAAACATATTTTTATTTGATCTTCATGGATTCAACCATCGTAGGAAGTGGTTCAATGTCGGCTGATTGATAGGATTTTTTTTTATAGAGTCCCAAAGCAAAAGCAAAAGCATGAGATGATGTATTTCAGTATTTAAAAATGTGTGTTTGATTTTGCTTATATTATATTTGAACTTATGTGAATACAACGAATCTATGAAGTTTCAATTCTCAAATCAAGATCATAAGGACAAAACAGTAGGATATTTCTGTTATTTACCATTTTGTACTTGATTTTGCTTTTTTTTTGGGTTCGGTTTGATATTTTTTGTTTTTTCTGCAACTCATCTAGATCTGTTGGTTGGGAGTTTTGGCTATCAACTAAGGCTTTGTTTGGAACAACTTTCTTTCTGCTTCTTAAGAAGCTGCTTCTTAAGAAGCAGTAAGAAAGCTGTCCCAAATATTTTGGATTTGAAGTTTGTGTATGTGTTGTGCGTGTCTATCTTTAATTGACTCAGAAGTCTCCATTTTTTTTGGGGAAATTTACATACATGCCACTTTATTTCATGCTATTTACATATCTAACACCTAAAACATTAATATTATATATCTACCACCCTTATTCAACTTTAATATCAAATATATCACTCCTATAATTCATTTCTATCATTCATACCATCTTATAAACTTTAATATTTCATTCCATACATCTAAATTTGTTCTATGGGTTCTAGGCATGTAATATTAATGTTTTGAGTGTTAGATACGTAAATAATATAAAATAAAGTGGTATGTATGTAAACCCCCCTTTTTTTATGTTTTCTTATTGTACTATTTTCTGCTGGTAAACAAGTAAACTGAACGATGGTTTGATAAAATAGTATAATGGGCTCCCAATTGAGGACCTTAAGATACACAATAGTAGGGTATATTTATGTTAATTAAAAAATGGTGGGTTTTTTTTGATATTTTTCTTCTTTGAAGTTTTGTAATAATTAAATATCCGAGCCATAATTAACATATAATTAATAAAAATAAAAAATAGATATCTGAGCTACTTTTTTACTTTTCCTATAATTGAATTATATTATTTCTTGTAGTTTTTTTTTTTTTAATATACTAAAATTATTTTGATCGTTCAACAAGAAGTAGATAGCTGAAAGCAATGTCTATCTGATATTTTGTTTCTATGTGATGAAAATTTTGTCAGACGATTTTAGCTGTAATAATTAAATGTCTCATGGTTTTCATGAACAAGTAAAAATTTATTATTATAATTTTTTTTTTTTTTTACTTTTCTATTAAATGGTCCATATATGTATTTTTTTTCTTTTGGAATTAGGATTATAATATTTTTTTTCTTTAAACCATGAAATTAATATTAAATGAAGTTAGAATTATGAATTCTTATCACAATGGCGGATTTTTTATTTTTATTTTTTTATTTTTTTTATTATGCCGGTGTGAAGTAGCCGCCTGCTATATTTGAATACAAAGTTGATGAGTCAAAAATGACGTTGAGTTGGTAATTATAATAATTTTTTTATATTCAGCCATGCATATCTACTTGTTATTATTATATTTCTAGATTTTTATATTTAGAAAGCAATAAGAAAGTCGTGCCAAAAACTTTCTGGTATAATAATTTTTTGAACTAAAAATTTTGTGCTAGAAAGCTGCTTTAAAAAGTAATAAAAAGACATTAATAAAATTATCCCAAATGAAATCTTAGTTGTTTTTCTCGATTAATCTCATGTAGGAAGAGCTCAAGTATAGATAATTGTCCACTATAATTTTTTTTTTCTTTAGTAAAATAAATATTTTAATTATTTGTATACCAATATATTTATCTAAAATTCTATTTATGGTTAAATTATGTATGTCCTAATTCTATTTTATCCTTAGTGAAATAAAAAGGTTAGTTTTGTCCCTTGATCTCATTGTTTTTATGAGATATTGAAATAAGTCTTGTTTTTATTTTATATATTTATTTTTATAAACCCTATGTAAGGTATAATTCCCAAGAAGAATGGATTTCACCTTGATTGGGACTTCTGAAGGCTTGATTCAAAATGGCTTGACAAAAATATTACTTCACCTCTTCTTCTTTTCCTTTCTTTTTTTTTTTTTTTTTTTTTTTTTCCTTTCTTTTTTTTTTTTTTGTCTTTATGTGAAGAATGAGGATCTATTTATAGTATTTTTTGAGTGGTATGGCTTGTAAAAATGAAGAAGATCAATGTCAAGATGGGAGTATTTCATCGGATGGCTCATATTTATCCCCTTGATCATGAAACATTTATCAAGCATTTAGATGCCCTAGAAAAGTTAGAATTGAGCGATCTTGGGCTTGTTGGATTCATCTCATTCAGCCGCTCGATTTGACTATAAGCACATCATATTTGGGTATTAATTGGTCATCCAATTAATGCTCAGAAGCTTCCAAAAATGCTTTGATTCTTTGATTTGAGCCCATTTGAGCTTGGATTTCACCGATTTTGGTGTCGTTGAGCTTGTCTCTCCGAGATCTTCAATTTGACTATGAGTTTATTGAAATCAGAATTTGAATGACCCCGATTTTAATTTTCAAAACTTCAATCTCATATTTGCATTAAAATTTGTGCCTCATAAGATGAATTTTTGTTGATGTATTAGTGTGATTACAAAGAAGTTAATAGTATTCAAAAGGGCTTGCATTAAAAAAAGGAAATACATAGCTTCCTATTTACATCTATTAAAAAATGAATACATTTAATGGAATAGTGCCTGCATTCAATATAGTTGTACAACATAATGCTATTTTCGTGTATCAAGATAATGAATACATTTAATGCACCTATTAGCATTTATTTCTTTCCATTAATTTAATACTCTCTCTTTTTTTTTTTTTAACACTTAAGCCTCATCGTTCGTAGAGCTGCAAGCGAACCAAGCATTCGACGAGCTAGTCGTTGTTCGGTTCGATTAAAGCTTGTTTGTGATCGTTTAATTAACTAAACAAACAAACTTGAACAATATTTTAAATACTTGATTCTTAAATAAACAAACTTGAACACTAATGCGTTTGACTCATTTATCTTCGCGAACAACATCATTTGATGAAGCTCATGAACAAGCTCGACATTAAGCTCGATAAGAATATCGATAAAAGCTCAATTCGTGTTTGATTTTGAACCCGTGAATAAGCTCGATAAAATTAATTAATATTTGTTTATAGAATATGCAACAAGTAAGCTTCATTTAAAAATATATTCATATTGATTAATACTATTTTCATTTTACATAGACAATTGCTTTTAATATAAATGTGTTTGTTCATAGATATGTTCCTGAACGTGTATGTTTGATAGTTTAAAAAAAATAGTTAAATATGTTCACGAACATGCTCGATGTAATCGTTTGTTAGGAAGCTTGATAAAGCTTGTTTGTTAAGTTAATGAACATCTAAAAATAGAGCTCATTTATAGCTCGTTCATGCTTGTTTGTTTAAAGCTCGATAAACACTAAACGAACCGAACATGGATTGAAAATGAACCGAACATGAACACTCATTAATTTAAATGAACCAAATATGAACACAAACAATAAAGTTCGAACATGTTGAGTTGAATCAACCGAAGCTTCCTCTACGATCTGGAAGAAAAAGAAAGACAGAAAACAAGAAGGAAGAAGATAGGTAACGGGAGTGATTTCCTTGATCTACCTGTACCGAGAACCCTGTTACAAGATATATATCAAACTAACTAATCCTAAGCCGTTTGATCAAAACAGTTGTAAAGTAGAGGTGAGGATTAAAATGGTACAAGCATAAGCATGACAAGTCAGAGTAGTGGCTGCACAAACGGCTATGACAGGATAAGTGATAGCTCATATCATTTCTGCTTATCATACCCCCCGCAAGATGATACTCGAGTCCCGGAGTGTAAGCTTGTGTCTTAAATCTTGAAACCTTTTTATAGCTAAAGGTTTGGTGAATATATCTGCCAACTAATCAAGTGAACTGATATGATGAATAGAGATATCTTTAGACTTCACACAATCCCGAATGAAATGATAATCTATCTCGATGTGTTTGGTACCCCCATGAAAAATAAGATTGTTAGCTAATGCGATCGCTGAAATATTGTCACAAAATAATTCAGTGGCATTTGTAACAAGAATACCAAACTCAACCAGAAGACGTCGTAACCAAACAAGATCAGCAGCTGTCGTGGCCAACGATCTATACTCGGCCTCAGTAGAAGAGCGAGCTACAATTTTCTGCTTTTTTGACCTGCCAAGAAATAAGATTGTGACCAAGATATGCACAATATCCAGTAGTTGATTTATGTTCTATTGGGTCTCTAGCCCAATCAGAATCCGAAAAGGCAGAAAGGTATAATTCAGTAGGTTGAATGAGAAGACCAAAAGTTAATGTGCCTTTAAGATATCTGAGAAGCCGCTTGAGCAAGTAGAAATTACCATTCGAAGGGTTGTGCATAAATTGACAAAGTTTATTAACTGTAAAGGAGATATCGGGTCTTGTGACAGTTAAATATTGCAAGGAGCCAACAAGATGTTTGTATAAATCAGGATTGTGGAATGAAGCTTCAGCATCCAACGTCACAATAGATTTAAGAGCTACTGGTGTAGATAACGATTTACAATTATCCATACCAGCCCGCGATATAATGGTGGCGGCATATGATGTCTGTGATAAAAATAAGCCCTGTTGTGCCGGTTGTACCTGAATACCGAGAAAGTGATGTATGCAGCCAAGGTTTTTAATGCTGAAATGCTGTTGAAGATTGGTTAGAAGCTGCTGAATAAGCTCATCATCATCACCGGTTAACAATATGTCATCCACATATATGAGGATGAATAAACATTTGGCTTCTTTGCAGTACAACAAAAATGAAGGATCAACTGAGCTTGGTTGAAAACCAAAATTGAGCAGATGTGAGGAAAACTTTGCAAACCACTGCCTTGGTGATTATTTTAATCCATAGATTGATTTTTTTAAGAGACACACGTGGTTTGGATATGCCTTATCGACAAACCCAATAGGTTGAGACATGTAAACCGTATTAGTAAGATCACCATGTAGAAAGGCATTAGAAACGTCTAGTTGTAGGATGTTCCATTTACGAGTCACGGCAACAGTAAGAAAAATTCGGATTGTGGGGAATTTGGCATCTGGACTGAAAGTTTCTAAATAATCCAACCCGTATTCTTGTTTAAAACCTTGAGCTACTAAGCGAGCTTTATGTCTTGCAATAGATCCATCGGCATTATATTTTGTTTTATAAATCCACTTCGAGCCGAGCACATTTTGAGTAGGAGAAGGAGGTACAAGAATCCATGTACCTTGTGCTTGTAGAGCATCAAATTCATTGGACATGGCTTGGCGCCAAATCAAGTGTTTGGACGCATGAGTATAGCAAGATGGATCCTGAGGTTGTAGAGAATGAGACATGCTAACAATTTGTTTTGGTTTTAAGCTTCCTGTTTTGAAACGGGTAAGCATCTGATGTGTCGGCTGAGGAAGAATAGGAGAAGTAGTAGAATCCGAAGGTATGAAATCTGCTGAGGAGGCATCCGTGACATTGGAAGGTAAGTTTTGGGTAGAGAATTGCGGATTCAGATTATCAGTAGTAGAATTAGAAGGAGTAGAGGAAGTTGTGATTTGTTGGGAAGTGAGAGGCACTAATGTCAAGGGAGCAGTTAACGGAGAAGCAGAAGAAGGAGAAATTTTTTTATGTAAATTTTGAAAAGGAAAAATATGCTCAAAGAATTTAACATGACGAGAAATGAAAATTTTCTGTGATTCCAAATTGTAGCATTTGTACCCTTTAGCATTTGAGGCATAACCAAGGAAAACACATGGAGAAGATTTGGGATCAAATTTGTTCTTGGGAAGGCTTGACAACCGAATGCTTTTAAAAAGGAATAATCGGGTGGCTTATGATAAAGACGTTGAAAGGGAGAAATCTTAAGAATTGGAGAGATGGGAAGACGATTTAAAAGAAAAATGGTGGTTAGCAAAGTATCAGGCCAGAAGGAATAGGGAATGTGTGCTTCCAGTAGAAGACTTCTTAACATGAACCAAACTTGAACAAGCTGATATTAAATGAACACAAACATGAACACTCACATACTCAGCTCGGCTCGATTCGTTTGCAACCCTAATCGTTCGCTTCTGCTTCTTCAAGTTCAATGTGCCTTCCAAAGCAATTTCCGGCCCCGAGCATCATTTTCTTCTATGCTTCTCTTGTGAGCTCTTGCCATAAATTTATCTTGAGTCTAGCTATTGATATTGAGAAAGAATGGATTAATCAAAGCTCGAACTCATTCTATGGGCTCGATTAGAGCTTGAGCTCGAGTTCGAGATACTTTTTTGGAGGCTAGTTGAGGTCGAGTTTATTGTGACTCGACTCATTTACACCCTTACTCTAAGCAAAAACCCCAAAGCACTCAACACCATATTATCTCTAGAACTTTTCAAGCGGTTGTAAAAGCTAACTTTTAACACCATTAAAATGTGATGCTCTAAGGCCCCAAAGTGGGATTTCAATAAGCTGATTGATTAAGATATTTTATTTTGTTAAACGAGCGGCTCTTTAATAGTTTCAACAAGCCTAAAATGAATTGGGCTCCAACATGAACACAAGCTAAATTCAAATATGTGTTTTCTAAACTGGGTTGAGTAGAGATCAAAATAGCATGAATCTTATTGAGCCGGAGCTCGGTAGGGCCTTGGCTAATGAGCTTGAGCTCAAACATGCCGAAACTCAATTCTACTTGGTTCATTCCTAGCCCTACTTTAAACCTTATCATCATCAATATTGAAACTAAACTTGGTAATATTTTATCATCATGAAATTGCAAAAATATACTTTATTGAAACAATGTGATCAAGAATTATATGCTATATAAAATCATAAAAGAAAGATAAAATCCCATGAATCTCACTACAAGAGATAACTCTCATACTTCTTCTCATATGGCCAATCAAAGCTGTCAATTCTCTTAGAAAACTCTAAAATCAATAGAGTATGTTAATTAGGAGCTAAAATATATCAATTACTTTATGCTTAAAACCTATGAGCAATAAGTATATTTATATATACATTCTCATGGATTGACTTCTAAATAAGTGATTTTCAATGGTTTCATAATTGATGAATAAATATGCAACTATTATGTATGACATTTAATTCTGATCTTTCAAGTAATACATTATTTTTAAACCATTTTTCATAATTTTTTTTTTACGTTAAACTTACAAAGTTTATCTTTCATACGATTTTATTGCGTGAAGCTCACTTAGTGTGTTATTATTATTATTTGAAGTAAAATAAATGCAGTGTAAAGCATGACCAATGATGGCCGACAATAGCATGCAATGGGTGACGGTGGTGGCGGGTGGCAGTTGGTTATGACTGATAGTAGGTGGCGGTCGGCCGTGGCTGACAATGGGGGATGATTGTGGTGGCGGCATGCTGTGGGTGGCGGTTAGAAATGGGCACGACAACCGACGATGGTGGCGGGCAATGAAGTTCTGGTGCATTTGAAAATCACTCAAATATAAAGAATTTCAAATACACAAAAATTTTACATTGCATTTGATTTATTTAAGACCAAATAATAATATCTTAAAAACCTCCTGTATTTGAAATCCTTCACAATCCTCTCAAATCAAACAGCCCCTAGTCTCAATTATTTCATTTTATAAAGCATTTTCTTAAACTCTTGACAAGTTGATAATTGGGCCGAAAGTAGTTGAAAGCTGGGCCAACACTGGTCCACCGTAAAAGGCCAATAATTGGGCCTTTGACCGGCGAGGAACAGTGTCAATCCGACCAAGGAGGTAAGGATATCCTGCCGCTCAGACGAAAATTAGAAAGCCGTAGGTTGGATTTAATACAGGGAGACGACGATCTCGTGGCGTGGCGATAAAAGGCGACAGCTTTCGGCGATCCAGCGCGGGTGACGGCGAAGATGGCATTGGAGCTTGAAATATTGGGGATGAACTTTGGCTGCGTTCTTGGGGCACTCAGCGCTGGGAAGTTCCCGGAGAAGGATTGCCTTCTTCCGCTCCTGTCGAAGGTCATCGGCTACTGCATCATTGCAGCCTCCACCACCGTCAAGGTCCCTCAGGTACTCCCTCTGCACCCGCTCGATCTTCCTTTTATGTTATCAGCTTTTCCTATTCTGGTTTGCTTGATTTGGAAGAAATCTTCTGTTTTATTTATAGCTTTAGCGGGCAGAAGTACTTTTGGGGTTTATAGGTGCTTCTAGGAGAGATAAAGCTTTTCACTATGCATGTTGGTTTGCTTTTGCGGACTGCAGTTTCCCCTAATGTAATTTCGGTGGTTAGAGTGTAATGAGCGTAATGGGATATTCAGAGATGAGCGATTGAGAAGTGATTCCCTAGGTGGATGCTTAGTGGTATTTGTTCATAATGAGAAGGTAGGAGAAAACAATATAAACTTCCGTTTCTAGAATTCTTAGGCTCTATGTTTACATTCTATGAAAATAAAGATGAGGTATAGAAGAGTGACAGGTATTCTGCATGAGTTCTTCGAACCATCATCTGGTCATTTACGCTTTTGAAGGAGGATTATGAACTTTGAAGATTAGACACAATATAGGGAAATTTTGTGACAAGTATTATTAGGGCTGCAAACGAACCAAGCCGAGCCAAGTATGTGAGTGTTCATGTTTGTGTTTGTTTAACATTAGCTTGTTCATGTTTGGTTCGTGTTTGATTCGAGCTTTATTATTTGTGTTCATGTTTGGTTCATTTAATTTAAGGGTGTTCATGTTTGGTTCATGTTCGTTTGTTTAGTGCTTATCGAGCTTTGAACAAGCTATGTTCGTGAACATATTTCGCAAACAATCTGTAGAACAAGCAAACCTTAAATTTGTTCATGAACATCATAAACAAACAATCTAACAAACATGGACAAATATGAAATGTTTCTTGTTATTAATAAAAAATAATTATATTATTATGTTATAATTAAAGTTTTTATATTATGTACATTTATCAATTTTATAATAACATATTATTTAAGTTTTTATCGAGCGATTTTAATCGAACCCGAATCAAGCTTTTTATCGAGCTTGTTCATGAACATCAACTGATGTTGTTCGCAAACATAAAACGAGCTGAACGCATTGGTGTTCAAGCTTGTTTATTTAAGAATCGAGTATTTAAAATATTGTTCAAGTTTGTTTGTTAGTTAATTAAACGATCACAAACGAGCTTTAATCGAACCAAACAACGAGTAGTTCGTCGAACGTTTGGTTCGCTTGCAGCCCTAAGTATTATAGACTTATCCACTTTATTTTTAGTGATCTGATATATTTTCCCTAATATGTGGAAATCTTGTGCGTCAACTTAAAGTGACAGATCCAATTCATTCTAGTTACTTTGATATTTATTATTATTATTATTATTATTATTTTTGATGGGCTCACTTGGGCTTCCTATCCATGTTATCTCGTACTCTCCAAAACATTTCCCAAATCCTTTTCCAGAGGACCGATAATGCTGTAATTAAAGCGTGGAGTTGGCGTATATGTACCGCTTCATTCAAATTAGTGTTGTTTATCGAATTCAAATTATGATTCTTTATTTGAAGGGAGGATGGGATCGAACCTTTCCTATATGTGTTGGTGGGTTTGTAGTTAAGATCTAAAGCGTATATGCAGCTCTTAAAAAAAGTAAGCTATTTATTTATTTATTTTTAATTTTTGCCTCCGATAAATTTTTGAGCCAATTAAGTGGATGAGTGGCTTGATCCTTAGAGATAGGATACGAAATGAGCATATACGTGAAAAGGTTGGAGTAGCTCCAGTAGAAGATAAGATTAGAGAGAGTCGCCTTAGATGGTTTGGTCACATTAAACGAAGGCCTCCCGATGACCCGGTTAGGAAAGTTGAGGTATTAGATTTGACTTATGTTAAGAAAGGTAGAGGTAGACCTAAAAAGACTTGGTTAGAAAATATTAGAAATGATCTTTCTTTATTAGATTTAAATGAGAATTTGATTTTTAACCGGACACAATGGCGAAATATGATTCATGTAGCCAACCCCACATAGTGAGACAAGGCTTGATGTTGTTGTTGTATTATTATTTTTAATATTTCTCTGCTATGATTTGGTTCAGTTTTAGGTTAGGTTATCTCTTAGGTTTATGTTATCCTCATAGTCTCATTCCTCTATAAGTAGAGATGTGATAGGAAATACTCGAGTTCGCAAGTAACCCTAAGGTAATACTTGAGTTCGCAAGCAACCCTAGTCAAAATCAGCCCATAACAATGAGCAAAACTGCTACCCCAGCAGTTTTACAGCAGCTCCGCAGCAGGAAATGCACTCAAACAGAGAAATATAAGGAAAAGAAACAAGGTTTCCACTAGTAGATGCAAGAAAACAAAGAAAGATACAACGTCCTTCGATTCGAGAGGAAGAACAACTCTCCACAAGTCTCTAGCAAACCCTAGAGCCCAAGCACACAATGAGATCTCAAACTTTTCATTCAAATTCAAGATGAGGACCTAATTCCCCCCTTTCCCCTCTTTAACTCTCATCCCCATACAAAATCCCTAAACAGCCCTTCTATTCAAATTTTCCCCCCTTTCCATTCAAATTTTCCCTCCAACCCTTGAATTAACTCCATGTGGGGCCCGCCTAGAGTAAGTAAGGACCGGAGGGGCCCGCCTAACAAGATGCTGCTGTAATAGAACTAAGTAGAGGCCAAGCAATAAGATTAGTTTTGATTTGTTCTTCTCTCTCTCTCTCTCATCAAAGAAGTTCAAGAGGAACTTCATCTTCATAATGTACAAATTACAATATAAGGCTAATGATGATGATTATCTTGATCTCAAAGAGTTGAATAAGGCTAATGAAAAAAATGATGATTCATAATGTTAATCTCAAATAGTTGAAATAAGGCTAATGATGATGATAATCTTAATTTTAAATTAACAAATTACAATATAAGAATACCATTTAGCCCTTCTAAAAGAGCAACAACAACAACAACAACAACAACAAGCCTTTATCCTACTACGTGGGGTCGGCTACTGAATCCTTTTTCTCCATTGTGTCATATTAAGAGTCAAATTCTCATTTAAATCTAATAAAGAAATTTCATTTCTAATATTTTCTAACCAAGTATTTTTAGGTCTATCTCTACCTTTCTTAACATAAGCCAATTATAATATATCAATTCTCTTAACCAGGTCATCAGAAGGATGTCGTTTTATGTGACCAAACCATCTAAGCGACTCTCTCTATTCTTATCTTATGAAGAAGCTACTCCAATCTTTTCACGTATATGCTTATTTCGTATCATGTCTCTAAGAGTAAAGCTACTCATCCACTTGAGCATCCTCAACTCTGCAACACGTAACTTAATATTGTGTTTCTCTTTTAATGACCAGCATTCTGCACCATAAATTGCAGGTCTCACCACCATCTTATAAGATTTTTCCTTAAGTTTGAGGGAAACTTTTCTATCACACAACAAACCTGATGCATTCCTCCACTTCAACCATCCAACATGAATTCTACTAATAATATTCCCATATATTTCACCATCACTCTGAACAATAGACCCAAAATATTTAAAATATGCCCTCTTATTAATGATTTCATCGCCCAAAGTCACAATCCCCTCACTAGATCTATTACTAAAATTACACTATATATTCAGTTTTAGATCCACTCAAACGAAAACCTTTAGACTCTGAGATTTACCTCCATAATTCAAGTTTACCTTCAACACCCTCTGTAGTCTTATCAGCAAAAAGAATATCATCATCAGAAAGCATACACCAGGGTACAACCTCTTGCAAATGCCGAGTGAGAACATCCATGATTAAAGCAAAAAGATATGGGCTTAAGGCTGATCCTTGATGTAATCCAACTGAAATAGGAAAATACTTGATCAACCATCTTATGTTTGAACACAAATAACAACTCCTTCATACATATTTTTAATGACTTGAATATAAGCATTATATACCCTTTTCTTTTCTAGAACTCTCCATAGCACTTCTCTGAAACTTTATCATAAGCTTTCTCTAAATTAATAAATATCGTATGTAGATCCTCCTTATTCTGTCTATACTTCTCTATCAAACATTTTAATACAAGTATAGAATATAAGCCACTCATCCACCTGAGCTTCCATAGTAGCCCTTCTGAAAGAACCCTTTGCTATTTTGCTGTAATTTTTTAGGATTAATTGAATGAATCGTCATTGATTTTTTTTTTCTATTTTTTCCATGTTCACTCAACAGAAAGAAATTAGCTATCATATATTATTTTAAATTTGTTTGAAATATTGGGTTTTAACTAATGTTGGTGTCAAATTGGCAGTCTAGTTTAAAGGGTTGTGAACCTTTCATTTTGTTTTGCAAAATCTTGAATTTAGATTTTGCATTGTCCAATGGGCTGATTGTGATCCAGAGTATTGAAAATTGTCCATTGCCTATTCTAAACTCAATATTTGAAGGTCTTTTCCACATATTGAACCTGCCTGATTTTGTTTACCCTCTTAGTCAAGGCATGCCTCAATCTGAACCTTAATTTAAAATAAAATATTTGAATAGATGCTGCCTGTAAATTTTTTGGTAATTCAGGAAAGATTGGGTATGATATTCAGCCTTTAAGGTTATTGCCTAGCAGCGTCCGAGCAGGAATACTAAATGTTCGAATGTTTCTTCTTCATCATATTTTAGCCTGAATTTGAATGATTTCCTTAAGTTATCTCTTTCTACGCTTTGATTAAAAGGGATCTTGAACTAAAAAATAGACCTAGAAGCTAAAAGAGGGTATCCTGAGCAATTGCAAGAATTGGGTTCATTGATATAACCTTTAAGAGAATTAAATGGAACGACCATACCTTTCATTGTAGAATATCATACTATGGTGTAAGGATTCCTTAAGTCATATAGCAAAAATCATAAAAGATCATTAATAGTTTATTAATGATTCAATAATATAAGGTAAAAGTATCCTAAATAAACATAATGCCATAGAAGTAGAAAATAAGATTGGTCCAGAATGAAAGAAAATCAAATTAAAAAATTTTCACGACAAAGAAAAGAGCTAGATTGATAAATGAAGCTGTCATAGTTGTAGATCAGCTTATTAGAACACAATGCAAAATACTAAAGCTCATAAAAAAAGATTACTATATATATTCTCGAAGGAATACATATATTTAAAACTTATAGTAGTTTGCTTACAAATCCCATATTTAAATTTAAAAATAAATTAGTTATGCTCAAAGTTGTCATCATCATATATCGAAATGATCTTTTTCATAACATCCATTTTTTCATTCAAAATAACCTTATCCTGATCGCATCTTCTGAACTGAGCAAAAAAGTGTGAGCTACTTATCCTTGTACTAGGTGATATAGCCACATTTCATGCTCTATTATAGCCTTGCTTTGTTCTTTGAAACACTAATATGCATGGATTGCACCTCATTGCATAATAAGCTATAGCATTAACTTTTTTACGCCATTGACAAGCATGATTGAGAGATATTGCACATTTTACTTCTGTATTGTTCTAGCTTAATTCTTGATGTTTAAATAATCAATATTTTTGGTTGAACCCTCACGGTTTATTTACATGAGTAGTTTAGTTTTTTGAATTTTTTTCATTTCTTTTTTAATTTATCTCTTGTTGTAAGTTTTCAGCAATTTTCACTGCAATGATTCTTTAATGCTTCCTTACTGTAATTTAGATAATTAAGATACTGAAGAACAATAGCATCAGAGGACTTAGTGTTGCGGCTTTTGAACTTGAGGTTGTGGGCTACACGATAGCTCTTTCATACTGTCTTCATAACGGTCTCCCTTTTTCTGCATATGGGGAGTTAGCATTTCTTTTAGTTCAAGGTATACTTTTCAGTTTATAATATCCTATTTGGGAAGCTACCAATTGTGTATTTATTTTCTAAAATATTTCTTTCCCGAGTATTATTTTTTGTGTATCCTCATTGTCTGTGACACTAGCCTCTATGTTTCTGGTGCAGCTATAATTTTAGTTGCCATCCTCTACTACTATTCATCGCCAATTGGAGTTAAAATATGGATAAGGGCCTTGCTGTATCCTCTATGATATTTCAATATCTTATTAGTTCTTTTTAGTTCTTTGAATTGCTTGGTAATTAATAACTTGGTTGTTGGAAAATCAAGTTTTAATTGCTTTTTCTAGAATTCAGAATGCATACTTAAAGATGGGTTGGATAGATATTGTGCTGTGGCGCCTACAATATTGGCAGGTCAAATAGATCCTGTTCTGTTTGAAGCTCTATATGTAAGTCTTTCATTCTTGTGCATCTAAGGCTTCGTTTGGGACAACTTTTTTGTTGCTTTCTTAAACAGCTTTCTAGTACAAAAATTTCTTGAGTTAGAAAATTTTATACTAGAAAGCCGTTTTAAAAAGCAATACGAAAGCTGTCTCAAACGAAGCCTTAGTTATTATTGAGGAATTGGAATGCTTGAATTATCAACAAGAGAAGTTTTTGCTTGCAAAATATCATCATCATCATTAGCCTTCTTCCAACTTCTTCCAACTATTTGTGATTGGATTTATGAATCCTCGTTCTTCATTTATTTTTGTTCAGTGCCACTTAAGGTGCTAAATGCATGTGTATCCGGAAATATCCAATTTGTTTATGCAGGCCCTTTCTGTTCTTTATGTCACGTCCTATGGAGGGTTGCATTTGAGAGTGGTTTTGCCCTTTTAACTCCTTTCAGAATGCCATTACGTCAACTTATGTGGACAATGATACACATAACTATATTTCCTACCATTTGAAACTTTTTTTGGCTAAAGAGTCCACCTTAATTCCTCTCTATGGTTGAAATATAGGTCTTACATTTTAAATTAGCATTAGCTTTTCTATCTTCTCCTGCCATGTTATCTGATGCTTTGAAGTGGCAAAACTTCTTTTGCAGGCTTCTCAGCATGCTATATTTTTTTGTGCTAGAATTCCTCAAATATGGAAGAATTATAAAGTAAGTTTTTTTTTTAGCTATTGCATTTAAGAAACCTATCTGACACTTCAAATCAGATTATCTAATGCAACTTTAGTAGTACTAATAACCGGGGTAACAAATGCATGATTGTACATGCATGTTTTTGCCTCTGGTCTATCTGCCCCGTCTTTTGGCTTATTTCATTTGTATTGATATTTGTGTGTGTCTATGCCAGCATGTAGCTTTGTTATTTCCTTATGCATGTATACCAGTTTCTTATGTAAACATCACATTTCTATTTGAAAAATAATTTATTTATTTTTTCAGTGGGTTTCAATATTTCCAAATGACATTTTAAAGCAGTTAAAATGATTGTAAAACAACTAAGAGGACATCTAGGATTAACTTCTATTTTTTGTTTTTGAAAACATAGCAATTTTTTTTAATGATAAAAAAATCTTTTAGGTAATTTTTAGATATTCTTATTTTTTGAATGAAAATCATTCCGAACACCACCCACCAGATGGCCGATCACAATTGCCTCCTACCCTCACTGCCTTATGCAATTTGAAATAAAAAGCATTTATTTAGGGTATCTAATATGTTTTTTATTCATATTAAAATTTAAACTAAACATAACAAAAAGCAAAAGCAAAAGTGTATTCAAACGGCCCCTAAGCTTTTACTTTGTTTTTTAAAGAAAAATATTCATTTCTCTTTCAGGTCTCATTTGATTTCTTGTAGATAAAATTAGAAAATTATGATTTTGTTTTAACTCCCTTTATATTTGAAAATGAATCACTACATTTGACATGGAGAGTTAATATCGATTCCTAATTACTCCCAATCAAATGATAGATAAAGAAAAAAAAAAAATATTTGTTTTTTAAAATGTTTCTATCTTTAAACAACCACTCAATAAATTTTAAAATTCTTTTTTGGTTAATAGTTTAGTTTCGTAAATAATTTATACTAGGCAGATATCCCCCGTTACCTTTTTTATAATTCACTTTATTTTCTTAGTTCATCATAGCTTGGCATGACTCACAATGCTGGTTATTTTGTTTTGCAGAACCAAAGCACTGGAGAGCTGAGCTTTGTTACATGTCTTATGAATTTTGGTGGATCTATTGGTGAGTTTACTTATAAAATTTATGTCAATTCTCACAAAGTTTTAGACTCATTCAATGTTTTTAACTTTCAAAGCTTTGTAAAAGTTTTTTTTTTCTTCTTCAAAATGTAACATTGTTTAAATTTGTGATTTTGATTTTTTTTTTTGTATATTGCATAAATTTAATATAATTTTTTAATTGCCGTTGTGCTGATTAATTATCAGTTTTTTATTTTGTCTTTTGTTGTTTTTCTGTAATATTGAAAATCCTTATTCCTCCTGGATTCTTTGCCATTATGCAAGTTATTTAAGGGGCATGTGCATTGCACGTGATCTCCCACATCCATTACAAGGGTTTAAGTTTTAGACATTTTTAAATATTTTTCAGTAACTTCATTAGATCTTAAAATTACAATCTCAATCATTTTAACTTGCTTGTTAAGGGGAAAAAAATGCTCAGTAATGACTCGCTATTTTTTTTATGATGACAAACCCACTATGCATATGATGGTTAGGTTTCCTCTTCTATCCCGCTAGACATAATTTTGGTGTTTTAACAATCAATTCTATTATTTTTTTTACAAAATAAAGGTTGTGTTTTAAAATAGGAGAGGATGTATTTCAATCTTGTAAATTATGGCTATGCAAATTGCCAAAGGATATCCAGAGCCAATTTTTTGGTAAATAGAATAGAGTCTTAGTAATAAATTTATTACAATTAATTAAATAGGAAAAATCCTTTAGTGCTTTATTTTTTATATATATTTCCATATTTTCTTTGATAAGACATCTCTTTTGGTGTAATTTTAGTAGTAATAGATCTAGTGGGGGGATGGTGACTTTGGGGGATCAAGTTCTTAATAAGAGTACTTGTTTTAGATATATTGGGTCTATTGTTCAGAGTAATGGTGAAATGGATGGGGATATTATTAGTAGAATTCAAGTGATGGTTGAAGCGAAGGAATGCAATAGGATTGTTGTGTGATAGAAAATTCCCCATCAAATTTAGGGTTGATAAGAAGGTGGTAAGACCTGCAATGCTTTATAGTGCAGAATGTTGGTCATTAAAAGAGAAGCATAATATTAAGTTAAGTGTTGCAGAGATGAGGATGCTTAGGTGGACGAGTGGCTTTACTCTTAGAGAAGGATACGAAATGAGCATATACGTGAAAAGGTTGGAGTAGCTTCTCTGGAAGATAAGATTAGAGAGTCTCTTTAAATGGTTTGGTCACATAAACGGCGGCCTTCTGATGTCCTGGTTAGGAAAATATATATATGAGATATGTCATATATTAAAAAAAGGTAGAGGTAGACCTAAAAAGACTTAGTTAGAAAATATTAGAAATGACCTTCCTTATTAAATTTAAATGATAATTTAACTTTTAACATATCACATTGGAGAAAAATGATTCATGTAGCCAACCCGTCATAGTGGGATAAAGGCTTGATGTTGTTGTTGTTGTTGTAAGACATCTAGGGGTGTCAATTCAGGTCAACGGGTCGGGTTCGGGTCGAGCCCGGAACTGACTCGGCACTATTCGGGTCAACCCGAACCGACCCGTTTTTAAAAACCGGTCAGGTTTCCGGACCCAAACCTGACCCGATTTGGGTCCGGGTCAACCCTACCCGACACGAATGATCCAAAGTTGACCTAAAATTGCTAGTTTTTGGGTCAAAAATCAGGTCAATCTTCAATTTTTGGGTCAAAATCGGGTAAAAAACGGATCGATCTCGGGTTTTCGGATCAAATAAGAGTTTTCGTGTCAATTTCGGATAATTTTCGAGTCAATTTCGGGTTCCTGGGTCAACCCGAAACCGACCCGATTTTTAAAACGGGTTGATTTGTTGAACCTGAACCCGACCCGTTTCGGGTCCAGATTGACCCTAACCCGAATTTTTTTAGGTCGGATTCAAATCGTGTTTCGGGTCGTGTCAAAAATTGACACCCCTAAAGACATCTCTTTTGGTTTTCATAAATCTTTTTGGGAATTGGTAACCAAAAATTTTTCAAAGACTAATAAAGTTACTGGATATCTTTGGTTCACTTTTATAATGAAGTATAGGTGATTGATTCAGTTTTTTGCATATAGTTATTAGTCTCAGACTATTTCCTTATTACTGATTGCAATTACAAAACTTTTTTGCAGCCAGAGTTTTTACGAGCATACAGGAGAAAGCACCAACAAGCGGTATCCTTGGTCTGATAACTACTCTTTTTCAGCCCATCATGTGCTTAACTTCCGTATTCATGCTATTCTTTTACAATGAGTTTTATTTTTTTCACATTATTTTCTTGTTTGGTCATGTCTGCATTGTTTAACTATTATTCCTTTTTATTGTTTTGCTTTCTGCTTTATTCAGTAGACTCATTTGCTTTCTTCAGCACTAATTGCTTGACATCTTTCCATTTGTATTCTTTGACATACATGTACCTAATTAGTTGCACGCTCGGAAACTTTTCTGAATTTCATCTGTTTGTTAGAAAAATATTATGTGGGGAGAAAACCCGAAGAAGATAACTCTAATAGCTAAACAGCTCTAACACCTAAAAAGAGTGGAAATACTGTTTCAATTCCAAAAATTTCATTCATATATTTGTTCTTACAACCATTCAATTTATACTAATCAAGTAGATAAACCTAGAAGGTTCTAGAAGCAGCTAACAAATTAAAACAGTTATACCTAAGGAGTATTTTAACTATAAGATGCGCTGCATCAAAATCACTTCCTGGTATATGCGGAACAGATATGAGTAATTAGTAGACACAGGAATATTAGATAGTTGTATATTTTGTTGCATATTTTAACTGGGAATACTGCTTACCTGATTATGTTGTCCTTTTTCTCTGTCATTTTCCTTGAATATAAACTAGAGATGCCAATAGGAAACTTCTTGTAGCCATCAATGTAGCCTCACTCATTTCCCCTCAAAATTAAAATTTCCTGGTTTTTCAACACTAGTTATTCTAAGAGAAAAAAGGTTTTTAATCCATTCTATGAATTTAGTTATTTGGGAATTCATTATAGAAATTTTTAACCCCTCTTTCCATCTTCATTGTTTATTTTAAATACTGTGCCTATAATGCTATTACATGGCAAATTTGTTTTGACCTACTCCATAATGATCACCTTTTTGTAGCCTTTCTGTAATTTTCAAAGGTAATTCTCTTTAATCTTGATTATAATTTTCTTTCATGCTATACCCTTTTTATGTGCGGATCTGATAGTTTTGCCATGATCAAGCAATCATTTCATAAATTTTCATCTAAGATGACAAAATTGTATCATTTTGGTTAACCATTTTTTCAAACTTCGAGTGATTGAAATACTTGCTTGTCATTAAAGTGTGCAATCCCTACATGTTCAACTCGTCAAAATGATTTATTGATCTAATTGCTCAGAAAAAAATGCATCAAATGAAGATAGCTTGAGAAAATCATTTAAAATTTACTATATATATATATATCATCAACCCAAACATAATATTAAACTGAGATGCTCTTTAGGCATATTTCCCCTTCCTTGACCATTATATATCAGTTCTTTTGGGTTCTTTCCTTGGAATATTCACAAATGGCACCATCTTGAGCCAGATGTTTGCTTATCAGAAGCCCCCAGCAAAGAAGGAGAAGAAAGTGCAGTAAATCATTTGTAAGCTTTTAGCTTTTTACTTTGAATCATCGATCTTCTACGAGACTAGTAGGAGGCTTAATGGTGTTGTTTTAGCTTCTAATACTCATTAAATGTTTTTTTTTTAATGTTTTCCTTGTTGCTCATCTGTATTGTCTTTATTTTTGTTACTTTACTGGTTCCAACGCTATTATTATTCATAAATCTCCACATCAGTCTACATTTTGCTCATTTGGCTCTGTTTAAACTCAACACTCTTTCGAAATTGAGATTTACTTCTTGCATTCAGTGCTTGTTTTAGATTTGTTTGAGTTTGAAACTGATAATGATGTTGATGGATTTAATTAATTTTACTGTTTTCTGAATAAATTTTTTGATTTTAAGCAAACAAATAAGCCTGTAGTTGAATTATCTTTCAAGGAAAATGATTACATGCTAGTAAGTTTACAAGGATTGTTAGATGCAAGGGTCATTAGTCTCATAGCATTATGCCAAAGCCAATTTCTTAATATTTGGTTCCTATTTCATCTCAACAGTTACAGTTTTAGTAGTTTTCCCATTTTCAGCTATTACAGTTAAGAGCTAAAGCCGAATTGATTTTTTGTTATAAAAATATTTAAAAACACACAAATAGAACAAAAATAAGCTGTTTTAAGAAGCAGTAAGAAAGCTGTCTCAAACAAAATCTAAAACAGCAAATTTTTTGACCTTCTATTCTCGTTAATAAATGAAATAAAAGGAAGATTGAAAATATATATTTTTAAAATAACTTTCGATGCAATAGATGCATTGTGGCTTTAATATCTTGCAACGAATAGTTTTATAATCTTTTATATAATGCAAGCAATGTACACGGAATTTACAGAATTTTAATAACAATGTATTTTCTCTTGCCAATTGTGCAATACTCATACAGTGCAGAGTTTTATTAACTAAAAAATTCCTTTTATGATTGTTTTGACATCAGTGTTACTGTAGAAAAAAATTGGAAAATGGAGTCTGTGCCCTTATCTCATTTAACCTCCTGTTCAGTTCCCTTAGTGATTCTATATGTGGTTCATCATCATCAACTGGAATTATTTTGGCAAAATCTCCAACACCAAAGTAGTTCACTACCTGGTTTGCAGCTTCAAGCCCAGTAACAACAGCTCTCTCCTGTAGTGTGAAAACAAACAAGAAAATTCATGTAAATCTCACATAAAATAAAATTAATGATAAACACTCAGAATAAAGTTTGCAAAACAGCTGCAATTATATGTAAGATTAGTTGTAAAATCATCATTGTGTATAAAATAACAGAAGATTATAGTCACAACAATGATCAATAAACTAAAAGTAATGAAAAGCTGCCCAAACACTCTACTCTGCCTCACTTTTGCGCAAGAGCCATGGCGAGAAATTATCCAATCACCAGCCATAAACAAATTTTGGAAAGAAGTGGACCCCTTCATCATGTATTTGTATGAACCTGCAATCCATATAATATTGATTAGTTAATGTTTCAACATTCAAATCAACATTACTTGCTTGGAGCTTCTTAAAAAACATATAGATATAGGATGAATCCTTAATGGATTAAAGAGATTATTCCATCAATCCTACTGGATTGTAGCAACAATTGCTCTGATATCAATTAATGAAGAGCAGTATAACTGTAGTATTGCAGAAGCTTTGAGCAAACAAAGAAGAAGAAAATAAGAGAAGAAGAGGACATAAAAGAGAGAAATCAAATCGAGGGGAGAAAAAGCATGCCAAACATCATTTCATTCAATATTAAAGTTTGTTTTCACTAAACTCTTTGGACCTATATCTATCTATAAATGATTACATAAGATAAGATCAATAATTAAATTTATTTTAAACAATTGTCAAATGATCACACTATACTTTACAATTAAAATAGATTATAAATAAATTTAAAATAAAATATAATTATAATTCAACAAAAATATTAATATATAATCACTAAATGATATTGTTATGTATTCGAAAATTTATGGTGGTAGAGTGTGCTTAATATTTTAGCTTTGTATAAAGATAAAACAAGTATATATATTAGTTGTAATAGAGTAGAATTTTTACATGGAAAATTCAAGGGGAAATTTTATTGGGCTTGGCTAGATGGGATTATATAATTGAAAATAATTATCTAATTCTCATTATAAGAATTACAAAAGTCGGGTGTTCACAGACGAATAGTTGAAAATAATAAGGCTTTATATTAATAGTCAAGCGACAATTGTTTAATAATGAAAGTCAGTCGATGGTAGCGGCAATTGTTGATAATGATTATCATTGTTGATTGATGGATAATGCAATCGAGTTTTTTAGCTCTCTAAGCTTCTAAAACCCCTTCACACAAAAATGTGGAGCCCTATTTATAACTTTTTGAGATTTGCATTTTGATAAATTTGATCAAAATAAAAACACGTCTTCAAATGATCCATATTGACCTCTTGATCATAAATCGCTTATCCAGTATTTGAGTACCTTAATGTTGTGAGGATTAAAATGATCTTAGGCTTCTTGGGTTATCTTGTCATGCCACATGATTTGAGTATAAACATAGAATATTTGGAGATCATTTGATCATTCATTAATGTTCAAACATTTTAAAATATGCTTCAAGTGCTTATTTATGTTATGGTGTTAATGGGTTCATCTCATCAAGATGCTCATGTTGACTATAAGTTTGTTAAAATCAAAATTTGGACGATCTTGAATATAATTCTGAAAGTTTTTAGTTAAAATGTTGCCTCGAAATTCATGTTGAACAATTGAATTTTCTAGAGACATGATAATTGCCCTCCTATTTTTGAATATTGAAGCTTCTGTCATGTGAAAATATGTTAAGCCTTCAAAACAATTTCGTGAAACAAAGAAATAACTTTGGAGAAATTATCATGGGTGACTTACAAGTAATATGTTTAGCATAAAAAAAAGAGTATATGATATAGTTGAGTGAAATTAATAAATATCAATCAATGTTAATACTTATGTTAGATATAAGTATTAGATCTATTATACAATAGGTGATAATATTTCTATATTTAAGTTTGAATGATTAAAATGAAGAAGCGCTTACAAATAATGTGGCAAAAGAATACCATATAAACTTGGTAAAAAATTTTATGAGTACAATTAGATCATGTCTACTATATGAATGTGAGTTTTACACAATACAAAGTCACTTGTAGCCAAATTGAATGTGACATTAGTGAGAATGTTAAGACAGGCCTTTCGTAAAATTAAAATAATGATGGGTTGAAAAATTATTATATTAGAGAGATAGTAAGAATTGCACCTATTAAAGATAAGAAGGGAAAATAAACTTTTGAGTGGCTTTGGCATCTAAAATTAGGATAGAAATTGAATCAATTAGACAACATCAACATCAAGTCTTTATCCCACTATGTAGGATCAGCTACATAAATCATTTTTCTCCATTGTGTCCAAATTGCATCAATTAGACAGATTAAAAAAAATTAATTGGAAGAACCAGGAACAAAAAGGTGCGCACAAAAGAGAACATAATTAGAAGTTGTGAAAAAAAAAAAAAAAACATTTACAAATAAAACTTATTAGCGATCAATAGGATGACCCCCAACTGTTCACAATCTTTTGGGTATGGCCAAAGGAAAGGGAGGGCAAATTCACAGTAGCATTTTGAAAATTCTTCCTAAATGCATTTACAAAAGTGAAGCTTGTTCTTTTCCTAGCAGCCATTAGCAAAATTTGTTTTAAGTAATTGTGTAAATAGATTATTGCACTCATCTTATCAGTAGCCAGCTTAAGCTGAGGAATATTACCTGGAAAGAAATGAGTTGCAGATTTTGGTAACCTGGAAACTATTTGCTGAATGACAGTGGCTTCTTGAAATTCTTTAATGCATCTAGAAAGGTATGATAGCAGCCTTGCAACAATTTGCTCGTCTTTTAAAGGCAAAAGCTGGTTGGCATGATACTGCATAAGAAAAGATTAGATACCTTAAAAATTGCTAGACTCTTTAAAATCTCACATTAGGGCCCATTTGGTTGCTTGAATTTAGAAGGCATCTGATGCAGCAAAAGAAATTAGATTCAGATTATTTATTAATATTTTAGAATTTATTTCAATTTATGAAGATATTTGAATCTGAATGAAAGAAGGATGAATTATATTTGATTTAAAATCTAGATTTAATTTCATATTTTAACCCAATTTTTATATGAAGGGGATCTATGAGTTGTATTTAATCAATTGATGAATGAATTAAAATTAAATCTTACTCTCTTATCCCCTCTTTCTCTACAAGTTGACTTTGGATTCTTCTACTCACTTTCCCTTCCACCCTAATGCACCATCATTTTAGTATCAGAGCCAAGTTCTTGAAATTTCTTTGTGGGGATCTCTTGGATGCCCCATATATATTAACTTTGCTCTTGTACTTTCCACTCACACTCGCCATTATTTTGGTACAAAAGGCAAGGAAATTCTTCATTGTTATCATTACATCAATACAAGAAGTAAAATTGGCGTGTTTAAGATGCACATGTTCTTCAAATGTTGTTTTAAATTTTTTTGAATAATCACTAGGAAATTAATGTTATTATTTTATTGACAAATTTTTATTAAGCTCATAAGCATCCAAAGTAGGGATGACCTGGAATAGAATGATTGGACAAAATATTACCTAAAGATTCTAGATGATTTTAGGAATCATTCAATTATAACTTTAGATCTTATGATCATAGCATACATAATCATCCCAAATCTCGTCAAAATTAATATTTATGCCACATATTCCAACAACTATCACATTCATGATGAAAGTTATGAGTGTAATGAATAATATTGTCTCAAAGAGGAAAAATACATTTAGGCTTCGTTTGGGACGGTATTTTTATTGCTTCTTAAAACAGTTTTTTAACTTAAAATTAAAATTTTTATACTAGAAAATTGCTTTAAAAAATAATAAGAAAGCCGTTCCAAACGAAGCTTTAGTTTCTCATATTCCCGTAACTCCAACATTCTCCCTATCTTCTTATCATTGTATGCAAGTGTAATGACGTGATTGAACTTGAGCATGATAGTAGATATGATAATTCAATATCTAAAGATTGTAACACAGAGCTTGAACAAGAGGTTTTTCGAGAGATTACTATTACATTTGAGTTTGAGAAGCCTCCTATTACTATTACTATTACTATTCTTCAACACTTATAGATGGAGACATGAGTTGTTCACAACTCCTATATTATTAGTTGTTACATCGCAAGTTGAATTTATCTATAGTTGTCGCCTTCACATTATTATACACCATAAAACAATATTGGGTTCATGCTACCGTTGGATGCCACCATGGAATGATTATGAAATCTTTTATGGGATTGTCCTCAGGAAATTATATGATGCATTGAGATATCTAGATCCAAAGCCTCCAGAGTTTACTTTATACATATGTACATAGCTACGATTCAAAAGTTATAAAATAATTCATCTCCATCTCCATCTTTGCCACCAAACTTCCAAAAAAAGAGTTTAAACTCCTAAGGATAAGAGTTTTATTGGACCCAAGGAAATTGATACTTCACAAGAAATTAGATTTAGATAATTTTCTATTATTGTAAGACTTATTTTAGTTTATAGGATTTTTTTATTTATTTGGAATTATAATGAATTATCCTTTGGATAATTTTAGTTCTAAATTGAAATTATTAGATGGGGTTAGATGTTGGATGTAATTAGATTAGACTTATCTTGTGACCTTATTTCTACAACTAAGATATTCATAATTTTTATTTAACAATTGATGAATGAATTAAAATAAAATCTACCTCTTCTAACCTCACCCTCTTTCTCTATTGAGGGACTCTAAATTATCTTTTGTTACTTCCTCCCACCCTACATTCTTTGAAAAATGATGAATTTATTATATTCCATCATTTGATTGTATGTAGTTACAAATCAAAATTATTTTGAAGCTACAAATATTTTCAAAATCCCTTAAATATGATGATTTATTTACACACACCAAATGCATGTTTTTTATCTTCAAGCAACCAAATGCGCCCCGAGAGAAGCAAATCACTAATGATTGGCAGGATTTCTTCTGCTAACATTAACTTCGACAAAGGAAAGGAGCTCACAAACTCAGCCTCTAAAACCGTCAAAGGTTCATCTTGATATTCATCGAATATTGAGTTTAAGTCAAAGAATGTCCATCCCGTTGAATTGTCATACCCAAAACAAACGTTACTTTCTCGTGGAATTTTAACCTAATTGGATTAAAATGCAGCTTATTCATGAACATAATTGCAAGAAAAATGAATGGTTGTCAATGAAAAAATGTATTCACCTTCCGGTTTAGCCATATTTTAACATTGACTACATCAATGGCAGACAAATTGAGAACGTTCAAAAATTCCTGCTTTGACTGCAGCGCACAACTACATGTAATTCAGGCTTTTCTTCCTACTTCATAAAGCTGCTTTTTAGTACAAAAATTTTAATTTTTGTGCTAGAAAGCCGCTTTATGAAGCAGGAAGAAATCCATCCCAAATAAAGCCTCAATCAATAAACATGATGATTATATAATCTATTGAAAAAATTCCCAAGTGCATGATGATTCAGCATGTAAAAATTGTCAAAAACTTGAATTTTAACATGTATAATTGGTAAATAGATTACTACCTCATTGCTTTACCTGCTGGTGATAGTAGATTTGAGAGTAGAGATACCAACAGCAAGGACAAATGCATCAGCCTCGTAGACATCCTTCCCACAGAGTACTCCTGTAACGCCGCCAGTACTTTTGTTTACAATAAAATCTGTTGTTGTTTTGTTTCCATGAAATCTACAGCCTTTTGATTTCAAAAAATCCATCCATGGGTTAAGGATTTTCTCCTGAACTGTCCCACGACACCAGACAACATCAAAGCTTTTCTATTGGAAGACAGAAGGGTAAATATCAGAAAGATGTGATCCATAAGCTAAAACACAATAGCATAAAAACAGTGATATTTGCAGAGGACCATGTTAGACCGGTCCATACGGGACCGGCTCAATGAAACGGAGGCGGAACTCTTCCGCCTCCTGCAGATGCCGCGCGATCCGAACACGTAGACAGAGCTGTTTAGGATACTTTTTGAAGGGAGATGAGAGGAAAATTTGAATGCAGGGACTGTTTAGATATTTCCTTTTGATTGTATACATTAAATAGTTTGTTTTCCTAGGGTGAGGGCATCTTGAATTTGGCTGAAATTTGATATCTCCTAGATTTAGGTTTTCTTTTGAGCTCTAGCGGCGTCTAGAGATTGAGAGAGATCGATCGTCCTCTTGAATAGAGGATCAATTGTATCTTGGTATTTTCCACTTCCTTTTCATCAAATAATACAAATTACCTATTGTTTTCATGGTTTTGTGTGGATTTTTATGAAGAAATCTCGCTTGTTTCCGAAGATTGATAGGAAAAACTTAGAGATCTACAAGTGTTTCCTACCAGACGATAGCTAAAATGTAAGTCTCCCTGCTAATATGACCATTTGCACAGTTTGCATATGAAGGTTCATGGAAAAAAATTTAACCTGATGTGAAAGAACAAAATAATAAAGCATTGCAAGGACTGCAGCTGCACTACATTGCTCTGCAGGTGCAAGCAAGCCAACTTCGACAAAGGGTTGAAAAGCTTCTCGGTAAAGCCTTTCCGAGCAACCAAATTGTTTGAAGAGTTCTCTTGCAGTCACTGTCATAGAAATTTCCTTCATTAAACGTTAGAATGCTTCACTTTTGAACGTTTCAGCAATTAAAAATGCTCGAGGAGTTTAGCCAGTAACAAAGTGCACATGTGAACTTCTACTATGACTAGGTTGACTTAGTTTTGTTTCCTCACTTGAATCATACTTGCTCCAAGCAGCATCAGTGCCATCAAAGTCAATGGCTGTATAATCAGATAAGTTTTAGGCATTCAAAAAACAAAAAGAAAACCCTAATTATTTGTATATCTAAGCAATGCTTTTATACCTGCTGCAATAAGAGGAATCCAGGTTAGGCGATCCGCTAAAGAGAGATGAGAAAACTGCAATATCAAAAGTGAGGGACAAAAAAAAAAGCTTTCACCTAGTGATAAAGAATTAAACAGTAGAAAGAGCTCAAAATTTTCAAACATGGAAGAAATACTTGGGGGTACAATAGGGCTCCAAGTGGAGCAGGCAAGAGCGGTAAATCTTGAAATATAGGAAATTCAACCTGAAAAATGGATCCAAACATATATAGGAAATCATATAGCAACTCTTAAATATATAAACAAGAAAGTACCTCCACACTCTCTGAGGTGTGAAGTGAGGAACTGGTCCAGTTTGTGAATGGTTGTAGGCCAAACTCCTCTATAATCGAAAATATGTTGCGATAGGGACTCCGGAAACCTGAAGATATAGAATAATGCATATTGAATCATTCCGACCTCCCTTTATTCCTACTAGTTGTTAAATGATCTGTTATGTACAGATCTTTCTACGCAACTTCTATTTATGTTATCTTTGGTGTTTTTTATCACAAATCTTGTAACATGAATTTTCTGAGCTAATCAGATATTTAGATCCTCTATAAAAAATCACATAAATATACAAATAAATTATAACAAGAAATCAATCTTCTCTAAATTTAAGTATGCTTGATCTTATCAGAAAAGATAAACCCCAAATTTTTTGTTGTGTGCTAGAGAATTCACAGTGATTGAAATTGAGAGTTATGATTTTGCTTGCACCAAGATCTAGCAAACATAAAAAATATAGACAAAGTTGGATAGGCGCCGGGTGACATCGCGGTCGTAATCTTCACTCCTACAACGCTACAAGAGCGCGTAGGAGTCTTCAAGGTACCTACTTGAAAATAGGCATAGTTTTTCTTTCCCCGCTAGCACTATGCACCCACGGGTACTTAATTTTATCCTCATCACGCTACACAATTGCTTAGAGGCCTACCTGCCTCGCCACAAGCGTCGCACCGGGCTCCCTCCCACCACGCTATGAGAGGGTCTAGGGTGATCCCCTGGCACGCCACAAGAGTCAAAAGCAGGGTTTTGGAGGCTTTGAGTCTAGGGGGAATTATACCCAATGTTTAAAATTGTGTATTCGGGTATTGAGGCGTTTTTCATTCGTGAGGCGAGGCGTAAGCCTCAAGGCGTTTTGAGGCGTAAGCCTCAAAATCAAAAGATTGCGTAAACATAAAATGATAAATTTTTTATATACTAATGAGTGAATAATATAAAACATAAAAAAGCATAAGATATGAATTGAAATCAAAATATCCCAATAATAAGACAACATGAAATATAGTTCAACTCAAAATTATATCTTTCCCAAATCCCAGTATTCTTTTCATTAACATATAATTCCAATTTTCAAAAACAAATAGCAATGACATATCACATAAGAACTCATAAGTCATCAACATTGTCATCACTAAGGGGTTCTTCATTTGAATCATCATTATGATGAACTTCTCTCTCCCCTTCCTCCTCTACTATAGAGTCCAATGTTGGATATTTACTTCAAGATTTATGTAAGTTTTAATATATATAGCGTGAGGCATAAGCCTCATGCCAGTGAGGCGAGGCGGGCCTCAACCAAGTTGAGGTGCAAGCCTCATAAAAAAAACTCAATGCGTAAGCATCGAGGCGTTTTTTACTGGAATTGCGCAAAGGCGAGCCTCATATTGCGCAATTTTAAACCATGATTATACCTAAGCGAGGGTCGACATAGACGTCGATGTCATTGGCTCGAGGATCGAGAATGCAATGGTTGCAAAAATGCACAAATATTTTTCCTTTTTCTCTTTTTTTTAAAAAACTCTTTTTCTTCTCTTTTTTTAACTAATAATAGTATTATTATTATTATTATTATTATTATTATTATTATTGATAATTACTAATAATTAATAGTAATAACTAATAACAACAATAGTGTAGGGAGAAAGAGATGAAAGCTGAAGAATTAGGCAAAGCAAGAGGAAATCAGGTTAGTTGAAGTTGTGAGGTTCGGATTTCAACAAGGAGAAGGCGGATTAGGGTTGGTAGAGCTCGGGTTATGTGAGGGTGCGTCTATTTGAAGCTGAGCTGGGAGCGAAGGTCGGCTGGATCGAGTGAGGCGACGGATATGGTTGCGGCAAGGTCGAGATGGGCAAAGCTGGGTTGGAGGCAGTGGATATGACGGGTATGGGGTCTTCAAACGGAGATCTAGTCTTGAGTTTGGCGGGATAGGTGCCTGAAAAACTGATAGGTGCCAAACATTTTAAAATGCCCCCGCACATGCACTACAATATCTATGCACACAAATACAAAGAAATGAATGTGTAATCGTACACCCGCATGGGCCCTGACGAGAGTGTTATGAGTACACACGTGACATCTGAGAATGCTATGCGGGTCAAACAATAAACCTCAATTCAAGCTCGATCCTCCTACGCTGGCAGAAAGGAGTTGACATGACTCGAACTGTCGAAAAAATATACGATCGCGGTGTCGACCGTGATATTTATTTTATACGTTCATATTAGGCCTTCAAGGCCTATAATCAAAACAAATTCATTATTTAAACCATAGAGTCAATAACGAATCTGATCTTTTGTTGATAATTAGACATAGTACACAATGTTCAATAGATAATTATAAAAATGCCCCTAAATACCCGCATGGGCCCCAGCGAACGTGTTAGGATACACACGTGACGTCTAAAGATGCTGCATGGAACATAAATGAACTTGAGTTCAAGTCCAATCCTTCTCACGACTTGAACCAATGAGCAAATATACGGTCGTGGTATTAACCAGAATATTTAATTTTATACGTTCATATTAGGCCTTCAAGGCCTACAATCATGAAAATTTACTAAACAAAGACAAAGTTTAAGAAGAACTTGATCCTCTATCAGTGAGTAAACAGAGTTGATAAGGTTCAATAGATAATTATAAAATATCCCATAAATACTCGCATGGATCCCGACAAGCGTGTTGTAGTTACACATGTGGCGCCTGAGGATGTTGTGTGAGTTGAGTAATAAACCTAATTTCAAGCTCGATCCTCCTATGCGAGTGAATAGCAGTCGACACGGCTTAATCCTCCTACACTAAAATGCTTATTAGAGAGAATTAACTAGCAAAGTAGTAACAAAGCTTGATCCTTCTCATCAACCATCACAAGAATATTACAATTAAGCTTATTTAGATGATTTAATGGGTGTACCTGCTTGTATGCGAAGCAAATACAATCTTCACTTTTAACAAACATTGTTGAAGGGCTTTTGGTGATATGAAAAGACATTAAAATGAGCTACAACCCCTCAACGGTGTTTCTTAGAAGACCTACACCAAGACTTATTCATCGAGCATAGTTAGATTGTTAAAATAGCCTTTTTACTCAACTCTAATTTATCTTCTTCACTAAAATTCAAGGAAAATTTCAATGCCCTATAAGCTATGATCACAGACACAACACAACACAAACACAATACACATCAATTATTGAAAATATAGGACACGAACACCGGTTAGATCCGGTATTATTATTTTTTATATCTTAAGATAGTGGATTTAAATTAATAAGCAGAATATTAAGAATAATTGATAAATAATAAATCATTTAACTAGGATTTATGCTTAAAATGATTAATAAGATGTCCAAAGTCGGGCTTGGATGTCATATTAGGCTTCAAGAGGGGCGATGACAATGCTGTTGAGAGTCGAGCATAAATTTCAAGATAATGTCAGCCTCATGTCGAGACGTCAGTCGTCAATGTTGAGATGTCGTTGGGAAAAAATGAGATTTCCACATGGTATGGGGTGTGATTATGTATGTAGAAATTACTACCATCAAATTTTCAATGTCAAGATAGCATCAAACTTCGATATTGAGATGGTATTAGAACATTAAAGTTGTGATAGCGGCGGACATTGATATTGAGATAGCATTGTGCGTTGTTATGAAACCTTAGTCGTAATCCGTTAGAAAGAAATGAAAATAGGAATGTTTGGGAATAGGGTAGTAAGTACAGATGATTGATTTGGTGTTATGAAGAGGAAATAAGAAATTTAGATCATATTTTTTTAATAAATAAAAAGTTGAAGTATAACAAATTATATTTAAAAATTATAATAAAATATTTAAGACACGTGTATTAGAGGCATATCGGATGCGGGTCTTAAATAAGCAGAAGTGTGGGTTCATAGCCTGTAAGGATTATCGTAATTGATATCTTGACTCTCCAATGTGTAAAACTCTTCAAGCATAAAACTTATATATCTTATACCATATGGCTATCATACTCCTAATAAAGCTTTTGTACTAGTTGTTTAGAAAAATACTTAACTATTATGTGAAAGCTCTTACTATAAGTGAATACAGTGAATGGACCAAGTAATAGTAAAAGAGATAAAGCACCACAAAAAATATCAAGATTTGTGTGGTTTGATATTTTTGTGGTTTGTCTATAATAAATTTAAATCCACATAGAGGAGAAAGGATCTTATTTACTATATGGAAGCTGATGTTTTTTATTATGTAGACATGCCTTACCTGGCCCATCTTCGATCCCCCCACTATACTCACCATCCTCAACTTCGACAATGCCAATGGTGAATCAATTGTTATTTTTCATTTCCTGGGGCGGATTCTGATTTTATCTCCCACTTTTGACTAGATCTTTTATCCTATTCATTTGAATTTTAAATCTTAAAACAAATGATCAAACAGTTGATCATGATATACTCGGATTTAAGAATTGCCATTCCAAACAATTTTCAGAATTCAATACCCTCATGATCTACTAAATCGCAATTTATAAGATTTGCTAATTTCTAGTTGTTTATCACCAAACAAACCCTAATAATCCCGTCGGCATTCAATCCCATGCTTCTACTACTCTAATAAAATCATTCAACTTTTCCTACCAACAGAACATACAGTTTCTATTGACATTGAATCGGAAGATTAACAAAAAGCATAGAAAATCAGCTAACCTCTGAGGGATACTTCCTCGGCAGGGAAGCTCCCAGCTTCAATAATGGTGACATCAAAACCCTGGAAGTAAAGAATACATATCAAACAACACCAAAGGAGACATTTTTTACAGACACACTCACAGAGAGAAAGAGAAAGAGAGAGCGAGACCTGCTTGCAAAGGTGGTGAGCAGAAGCGAGGCCGGCCCAGCCGGCGCCGATGACCATCACCTTCTTCCGGGAATCGTTCGGGTTCGCAGCTTCCGCTCTGCAGCGAAACCCATCTCTCCGTATGTGATGAGGTAAGCTAGCGGGGACAGCAGCGGCGGCGACAGTATATGCCGACGCGGCCCACATTGCTCGCCGCCGTCGTCCAACGGATTGAAGCCACGCTTTTGATATTCACTTGTGGTCCGAACCAGGATAGCCTTTCGTTGCGCCTTGCTTTTCTTACTTGCAACCAACGGTTAGCGGATTTTTCAAAAAATATTAAAAAGCAGATGGCCTTTTCCACCGTGCACTTTGATGTGCAACGGTTAAAACTTAGTATTTTAAATTTATGTTTTATGTATTTTTATAAATGTTTAAACAATATTTTTCGAAATTATTAGATATATGTTGTTTCTTTAATATTTTAAAGTTAAGATGAGAATTTATATTATGTTTATAATTTTATTTTCGTGAAACTTAAAATTACGTTAAGTATTGCAAAGATGAGTATGCTCAGGTGAATAAATTACTTTATACTTATAGATAGAATGTGAAATAAGTATATTCGTGAAAAGGTTGTAGTAGCTCCAATGATATTAGATTAGAGAGAGGCGTCGTAAATGGTTTGGCCTCATAAAACGTCGACCTTATGATGAATCTGTTAGGAGAGTATTAATAGGAAATAAATAAAATTATAGGATTTTGTTGCAGAAATCAGCAAAAGTAGCACACTTCCCAACATATTTTGAAGAAAATTAGAGAAATAGTGGAAAGAAAATTTGTAATTTCAAAGTAGATGAAAGAAACTAGCAAGATACAGTTAGATCTTCAATTGGAGAGGAAGATCCTGCTCTTCCAACCTCTAGCCGAAGACTAGAGCCCAAACAAAACTAGAGAAAATAGATATGATTTTAGTTGAAGTCTTTATACTATAGCAACAACGACAACATCAAGCCTTTGTCCCACTTCGTGGGGTGTTGAAATCCTTATAAATAATCAAAAATCTCTCCAACAAAATAGAAGATCTACTTTTGATGAAGGAAGATGTGCCTATTAAGGCTTCATCGGATATAACTTTGTTATTGTTTTCTAAAATAATTTTTTTATTATAAAATTTTCTAGTTCAATAAATTTTTGTACTAAAAAATTACTTTAGAAAGCAATAAGATGATGTGGATGATTAGTCTTGTATCGCATAGTTTACCTCAATGTTAGATTGTTAGGTCAGAACATCATAACATTCAATATGAGGACACAACTAATTAATAGCTACAAAAAAATTAGTGTGGGATATACAATCATATTCAATTGTGCCACTTCATATTATAACATTTGTGCTACAAAGATCTCTCAAAGGTACTCAGCTCATACAACATTTTAATCTGATAGGATTGCATGATGTTGCAACCTTTGTGGCTTTTGGAGTAGGGGTGCAAACGAGTCAAGCCGAGCTCGAGTCAGGGGTTGTTCGAGTCGAGATCGACTAACTAATATCGAGCTCGAGCTCGAACTAGAGTCGAGCTAAAAATTCAAGCTCGTGCTCGATTCGTCCTCATGTCGAGCGACTCGTCGAGCTCAGTCCTGAGCTCCGCCGTCGATATCCTTTGTCCCGAGCTCATCATCTTCTCCGTCGTATTCCCGAACTACGACGACGTCATCCAGAGGACCCGAGCTCGTAGTAAAAAATGATGGACGTCGTCATCCAGATCTTCTTTGTTGTCTTCCCGAACTCTGACGACATCGTCCCGAGGACCCGAGCTATTAGTCAAAAATGACGGACGTCGTCGTCCAAATCTTCTCCGTCATCTTCCTGAACTCTTGTCAGCTGTCGTCGTCCAGAGCTTGTAGGCCGCCGAGATCCATGTGCGAGCTTCGTCGATTTGGATTTCCTTCTTGTGAGTTCCTTCATTTTCGACCCGCTCGCGAGCTTCGTGGATTAGGATTTCCCACCAGCGAGCTCCGCCGTCGAGCCGACGAGTCGAGTCTGAGGCCTCTCTGAGCTTGAGTTCGATAAGCCTTCGAGCTTGAAATTGTGTTCGAGCTCGATAAATCAACTCGTCCAGCCTATTACCGAGTCGACTCCGAGCATTTTCACGAGTCGGCTTGACTCGGTTGCACCCCTATTTTGGAGCTTAGAGTGCTACCTTATAGTGGATTCATACAAATCAAACGCATCGAAAAATCTCATCACATTAATAAATCTGAGTGTATTATAATTTTCCCCTCAAAAAACTCTTAGAGGCTGAAAAGGTGAAAGAGTCGTCGCAACCCAACCTAGAAAAGAACAAATAAAGATTGATATAAAATATTAAAATTTAAAAAGGAAGAATTAGACAAATATAATGTTTTTTTTTTTGGGTAAATGACAAATATAATGTAATAACTGATACATTATAATACTTGTATTTATATACAATACTAATGGTATGTTTGAAACCATCAATATAAAGTCAAATTTGCAAGAATGATTCACTTTTGCATTTATTAAGTGAAAGTTTGTCTTTGTCTTTTTATGGCATACAATGTTAGATTAAACAATCCAAATTTGTAGATTAAATGCAATATAATCAATAACTTAAAAGAATTCAGCAATTTTTTTTTTTCAATAAATATAAACTGATTTTTATTATTTATGTATTATAGGGTGCCTGAAAATTAATAATTCTAGATGTATTTTATTTAACAATAAAAATAATATTAAGACATTTATGCCTGCATGATTTACATTTAGCAATGATCTTTTAACTCTGTTAATAGAGGTGTCAAAACTGGGTTTCGGATCGGGTTCGGGCCAAACCTGGGTTCAATAAGGTCGATCCTAACCCGAACTGGGTAGGTAAACGGGTCGGATATTCGAACTTGGATCGGACCCGGCGGGTTGTCTGGTTGACCTGACCCGACACGGGAAGCAGACGCGAGCGGGCGGTGGGATGGCACTGACGTGAACGGGATGCGGGTGTGCGCCAGCTTGGGCAAATGGGCTGGTTCGGGCGTCTGCAGGTGCACGCGGGCTGGCAAGCGTTGTCGCACGGGCAACTGGGCAGGCAGGGCACGGGCATACGGGTCAGGTGCACGGGCAGTCTTGGCAGATTCAGGCAGCTCATGTTTAAACGGATTTTTGGGTCTGGTTCGAGGCATGTTTTCGTGTCGTGACAATATTTGACACCCCTATCTATTATCATTATATCACATATCGAGATTTGTGCTAACCCTTGAATTAAGCTTAGTAAATTTAATATATTTAATTTGTTAACTCACATATAACTTCACAGGTGTCTAACGAGTAGTTGACGGGTCAAGATAAAAGAGCTCTCATCTAGTAGGTCCCACAGATGTACTCGCCTAAAGATCATCAAGCCCCACTCGTGTAGGCCTAAAGAAGAAGGTCGTCCCTTCCATAAGGGGCGATCAAGGGTCATCACAAGTCAAGTAATTAATCACTCGCCATATAAAAGATAAGTCATTAGGGCCACTCAACCTAATCCACGGCGAATACTCTTATTCATGTTCACCAACCTCAACTCCAAGAAAACATCTACCCACAAATAAAGAAATGTTCTTTTGGAACTCTGCCTAAGAACCATCATTCACAAGCATGAATCACCATGGTAGAAAAATACATCAAGAATAGGAGAATTTGATTAATTTCTTTCTTGAAATATAACCAATCTTTGTCTGAACCTTATTTGAATGTTATTCTAATCAAATTTGATTACAACAGGCCTAAAAAAATAAAACTATCTTAAACCCTAAACTTTATTTCAATATTCATGTAATAATAATAAAATTTATTTTAAAAAATAAATATAATATAAAAGATACATTCTAAATAAATTATTTTTTACAAAAAAATTATGTCATAAAACGGTGAAATCTGTATATTTACAAAAACTATTTTTGTTTCTAACAGTTTTATTATTATTATTATTATTATTATTATTGTTATTATTATTATTATTTCCAGTATTTTTAAGGATTTTTTTATTGATTCTTAAAGCAATTTTTTAGTACAAAGAATTTAACTTTTGTACTAAAAAAATATTTTAAAAAGCAATAAAAAAGTCGTCTCAAATAAAGCCTAAGGTTTCGTTTGGAATCTTACTCTTTTCTAAAATAGCTTTCTAATACAAATTTGTTTAGTTTAAGAAATTTTTATATTAGAAATCTGCTTTGAAAAGCAATGAGAAAGCCATCTCAAACTAAACCTAAGATTTCATTTGGAACAGCTTTCTTACTGTTTTCTAAAGCGTCTTTTTAATAGAAAAATTTCTTGAGTTAGAAATATTTGTAGTGAAAAATTACTTTATAAAACAATAAGAGAGTTATCCCAAATGAAGCCTAAATTCATAATTTTATACAGTCTAATATTATATTGATCATTTAAAAAATTTTAAGGGAACAATTCAATCTTTCTCTCATTAATGATTATTCAACATTTCAAAAAAAGTCCAAACAAAAAACAAATTTATGTGCAAGCCCCACTCTTGAGATAAAATTTTATTATATGGAAAGGAGAATATAAAGGAAAAAAACATCAAATTATTCCATGAAGTCCTTAATTTGCAATTAAAAAGATTAAAAAGAATAAAAAGAGGCTGAATTCCATTGCACTGACCTTTTCAACACAACAATTTCAGTTCCTTAGTATTTCATCCATCAGTTTTTTAACATTTTCTTCCATATCTTCTGTTCCTTCATCACTATTTCATAATCTTGAAGAATAAAGAATAATTTTGTTTTTCAAACATTTAGAAGTTGTAAATAATCTCTCTTTCTTTTTTCAGAATTTGCAAAATTGAAAATTCATATTAATTTTTAAATTTATCCATCCAAATGATAATCAAATAAATTCATTATTTTTTAATTAATGAGACCTGAGAAGAAGTCACTTGTATTTTTCTGCTTGTAGAAAAAGTATTTGCTAGCAAGTGAAGAAAGAGAACATTTGCTCCTATTTCTCTCTACTTTTTCTCAGGCCAAGCCATATGGCGAAGAAATAGCACATTCATAAATATATTAAGCTCTTCTTTCTCTGCCTCTTTCCTGCAAAAGTAGAAGAAAGCCATGAATGGAATAGCAGAAGCAGCCATGGATAAGAGGAGGAAATGAATAAAAGAGCTACCTTTTTGCCATTAGGATCTCCTACAGATAAAAAAAAATGAACAGATTCATATTACAAGAAGCAACACCAATTCCAAACAATTACAAAACTCACAAATCCACTGCAGGATTTCCTGTTTTACAAATCTGTGCTGCAGTAGGTGCGAGTGTTGCAGGAATCATCTTTGCGCTTCTGCTCTTCTTCTACATCAGGAAATATTATTACTACAAAAGAAAAAATGCAGGAAACAAAGGTGAGAAGATCTTTCATTATTATTTATTGTTTTCTGTTATTCTCTGATGAATTGTGGTGATGATGAAACTTTTAACTGCAGATCCTGACTGGCCAAAGGTAGAGCTGAGACAATATCGACTTGCAGAACTAGAGAAGGCTACAAACTCCTTCAGCGGTGAAAGGTTGCTTGGCTCAGGTGCATTTGGAAATGTTTATAAAGGAGTTTTTAATGGTGGTAAAATAACACTTGCAATAAAGAAAGCTCATTTAGATTCTTATCAGACTGTTGAGGAATTTCGAAATGGTTTGTGAAGTTCTCTTTTGTTAACTTTTTAATATTCCTCCATGAATATGATAATGAGGTGGGATTGTTGATCTTTGTTGGAATCAGAGGTTGAGCTGCTTCACAGGGTCAAGCACAAGAACCTTGTGTGTTTGGTTGGCTACTGTGCAGAAGATGGTAAGACTGATTTACAATTTTCCCATCAATTTTGAGAGATTTCAAAGTTGCTTGTAGAATTAAAAATTCACATTGACTTCTAACTTCAAGCAAACAAACAAGCCATTATACAAGACCAAACCAAATTTTCTCAAGTGGCATAATGAAAATCATAACCAGAGTAATTAAGGGTTTGTAAGTCTATAATTTTTCCAACAAATAGTTGAAAATTTTCAAGTACATAGAGATTTTCATATTTTGTTTCACCTTCAATGAATTTCTGACCATACCTTCATTGATGGCATGCAGGGCAAAGAGTACTTCTGTATGAGTATGTTTCACAAGGATGTCTACTTGAATACCTTGTTGGTAAGAGAGCTTTCGTTCTTGAAATTGTCTTAGCATGGCTATCTATCAATAAATCTCTTATTTTAACATATCAAAATACCATGTGTAGGAAAAGGAAAAAGGCCTTTAACTTGGCAGCAAAGAATAAAGATAGCCATTGGATCAGCAAAAGGTGACTTTCATAACAAGCTTGTGAAAACTGAAAACCACTCTCATAAGATTGAAGTCTCACTCAGTAATTTTGTACTAGGTTGACCTGTACTATGTGCACAAATGAAATTATTTTTGCTGCATAAACATTACTTTTGAAGAAATTGTTACGGGGGTTATCCACGAACCAATCCCCCAACCAACCAAACCGGCCAAGAAGGGGCTGGTTCAGTTTTACAGGATGAGGGCTAAGCCGCCTCCTTAAGTTTCCGCCCAAGGCTGTGGGCCCCCTAGGGCGGCAAGCAGAGAGAGAGTGAGAGAGAGAGAGAGAGGGGGTGGCTAAAGCATAAGGAAGAAAATTTAAATTTGATTTACGTTAGGAAGCTTTTTATTTTATTTAAAAGAACATGAGAGGCTAGGATTAGAGATGCATGGTTTGAGTTGTTCTCTTGGAGTCTTCTTGGTGCCTTGGGCTCTAGATCCACAATCTAGAGATTGGGAGAGACGATCCTTCTCTCGAATTGAGGATCAATTGTATCTTTCTTCGAGTTTGTTTTGCTTTGATTCTACTATTGCAATCTATCGTTTTTAGATTTATTTCATCCAGATTTTCTTGTTTTTTCTTACTGTTTTGACCAATTCTTGCTAGGGTTGCTTGCGAACTCAAGTATTTCCTAACAAAACAGAAAATAAAGCATGAGCAACAATATTACAAAAACAATACAAATCTAACAAAAAAAAATGTCATGAAAAAACTTACTTTCTATCAATATTTAACGCAAACAAGTTGTCCCTCAAGCATTCCAAAGTCTGGATATCACAGAACAGCATCACAAGCAATATATTTCTTAGTAATATGCATGATATATGCAGGCATTGCTCACCTTCATGAAACCCAGCCAAATATAATACACAGGGACGTCAAGCCAAGCAATGTCCTAATAGATGATGAATTTGAGGCTAAGGTTTCAGACTTTGGACTAGTAAAATTGGGACCGGATGGCGATGCATCGCATGTCAGCACTCAGGTGAAGGGCACTCCGGGCTACATGGACCCTGCCTACTGCTCCAGCCTCCACCTTACTCCTTCAAGCGATGTATACAGCTTTGGAGTCATTCTCCTCCAGCTTGTCACTGCCTGCCCTGCACTTGACCATATGAGGCCAAGATCTCAATATCACATCAGTGATTGGGTAAAGTATCCAATTATGCTTCAGCTACAAGTGTAGATTATGATTTCTCTTGATTAATGGTGATTGAATCTCTTTAATGTGACTCCTTCAGGCCAAGGCAAGTATGGAGAGAGGGAGGTTAGAAGAGATACTAGATGCAAGTCTCCAACTCGGACCATGTAACATGAAAATGGTTCTGAAAATGGCACAGTTAGGCATTAAATGCACAGCTTGGCAGCCCAAGGATAGACCAACCATGAGACAAGTTGTCATAGAGCTGGAGGAGGCTCAAATACGTGCAATAAGTAGCATGCAAAAATCCTCAGATGCAGAAGAGTTGCAGAGTATTAGTATCAACAACGTGCAGTTGCAGAGATTTTCTGTTGGAAGCTATGATGACCTTTCTATCAGGAGTACAAGCTTGAGGTCCTTGGATGTCAATTGCAATAGTAGTAGCGACAGGAGTAAGTTATCTGGAATAAGCGAGGAAATGAATGGACGACAGTGCTGAGAAAAATCGGTAGTTGTTTTGAATGTTGTGTAGATAATTGTTACAGTTCCGTTATGTACCGTTAATAGAGGAATTCTTCAGTTGAATCATTCAACATTTATGTAGATTATTTGGGTTATAACACCTGAATTTAGAAAAATAATTGCCAAAACCATTTTAAGTTGTATCAGGAATCAGTACAGTGTTTTGACACTTCTAGTATTCTCAAAAAACGAAAATGCAAATGCTTCACTTGGTGCAGTTACTTTCCTGGGCACACTCTAGAGATATTCGCACAGAAAATCAAAAGGAATCACAAATTTATATGATTTAAAGAGCAATACACAATGAATCCATGACTCTGCTGATTCCACACTCATAAATTTAAAATCACAAGAGCCATTGCTTTTAAGAACATAGAGACCATGACAACGAACAAGACTAATACCCATCAATAACACATATATTCTCAGAACATTATCCCTTAGGAACACCATCGGCATCTCAGTGATGAAGAAGATTGAGAATAGATTTACCAACAGTTAAACTACCTGAAGACTATACATAGTATTGATCTTTGAATAGATAAGCAGCTCAGAGAGTACCAATCATTTATGTATCCTCCCAAGATAATAAAATTAATGAAGAACATTTAATCTCCTTCCTCTTCTGAAACTAAGGCAGTTACATAAGAGTACAGCAAAACATCAGGTACTGCAATTGTAGTTTAATGAAGTTCCTTTCTGACGTTCTCCCAAAATCAACGAACTTGAAACTCATCCACTTAGGAATTTGTTTCCACCTTATGTTGGCTAGGAAAAGCATAACTTTTTTGGCAGGAATATCTACCTGGAGTGAATAATGAACACAAAGAAACAATGAAAAGAAAAAGGACCCTGAGAAAACACCAAGATTTAGATAATTTGGCCAAAACAAGCTTAAATCGATGGGAGATAAGAGAGGATTCATCTCACTATAGAGAAGCCAACCAATGTATAAAATAAATTGGGCATAATAAAACTCTTCCTCAAGTACATCCAATTTCACCACAAAAGAGACATCTCAAATCTCTCTTTTGTAAACAACTTTAAATGGTTTTTATAACATAACAAGGATAATCAACAAAGAATATTTAACTAATACCAAAAAATTAATACTTGAATGCTCCTTAGAAAGATGTGTTTCCACATGCCTATGGAATAATCGCAATATTTTTTGCACCACCATGCTTTCAACACTTCACTATATACTCCACGGCCATAGAAAGAAATTTTTTCTTTTTATTTTCTCTTATCACTCTCTTCTTTTATTTTCATATCCCTCTATTTCTTTAAATATCCATTAATTATCTAGAAATTGAAATCACTTCTACAGATGATCCTCTTACTCTTGGTATGAATTTAAATTGATTATTTCATAATGACATAATTTCTCAAAGCTTTGGCTTATGTTAAGAAAGGTAGAGGTAGACATAAAGAACTTGGTTAGAAAATATTAGAAATGACATTTCTTTATTAGATTTAAGTGAGAATTTGACTCTTAACAGGACACAATGAAGAAAAAAGATTCATGTAGCCGACCCCACGTAGTGGGATAAAGACTTGATGTTGTTGTTGTTGTTGTTGACACATTTTTTCAAAGCATTTGTTTAAGTACTCTCTCCAATAACCTCATTTTATAATTCAAAGGTTTGATTTATCTATAGTCAATATAATCTCGAAATTCTTTTTCCTTCTTAAATATTGGTATCAAGATACTCGTTCTTCTATCATTTGGCATTCTCTTAATCTTTAAAATTCCATTGAAAAACTTTATTAATCAAACTACTGCAATTTCCATCTCAACTCTCTAGGTCTCAATAGTTTTCACATATGAAACTAAAAATCCTTTTTAAAGATAACTCTAGTTTACTTCTTTGAATCAATCTATAATATAACTTATTATTATATTAGTCATCATGCTCATAAAAAATTATTTCTTTCTAAAACGGAATATTTAATAATTTCATAAAGTAGTATTTTTCTTTTTTTTTGCCTTCATCTATAACTAAAATATTATTATCATTGATTCTATCTAACTTGAACAAACTAGTTAAATTTCTTTTCTTGTCTTAACCTATTTTATAAGTCAAATCAATATAAATGAAATGAATTATAATTTGAATTCAGAATTATCCAAAATAACAAAGTTTATAGCAAACATCAAAACTTGATTTTATAACCAGAAAAGTAATGTTATTAGCCCCAAATTGCCTATTTGAATCTTCTGCTAATCCTTAAAGATTCTATTATCAATTCTAAAAATCACATGTTTTAATTTTGTACCTATCTTGATTAAATTATTGAGACAAACTCCTGACAATGTTGACTCTTGGTTTTGATTACCTTTCATGGTTATAAATATTATTTTATTGTTGACCATATTAGCATAAAGTGCCTTAAACCTTCTTGTCTCTATTTTAATAGGCATTTAACAGAACTTGTCTCTTAATAGACAGATAGTCATGCTTGTAAAACTTCTTGCTTTCTGTAGAAATGTTCCTTCAATATAATTTCAACAGCAATGACTTCCCTTTAATTGCTACCAAAAAAAAATAATCCATGTATAGGCCATTTGTAGAAAATTGGAAAACAGCTTTAGAAAAAAATGGCTTAATCTGATAGCTCTGATACCATTTTATATACCCCCACCCCTATTATCAAATAAAAAAAGTTAAAAATAGAGATTCATTACTATAAAAGGGAATTTACATGGGATATGTGGATATTCACTCACTAAAAACTACGGTGACTTGCCTGTCCATAACTCATGCAATCACTTACCTATTATATTGTGGACTTCTTCACCTAAACAAGATATTTCACATATCCATTCAACTTAGAAGCCTTTTGAAGTTCTAAACATGAACTGGTTGGCCAATTAAATTGGTTTTTTTAAAAGGTTGGTAAGTGATAATTATGAAGCACGATCAATATCCAAAGAAGTAGAACAAGTGGTTTTATTGAATGCTATGCCACGACTAAAGTTGTTGGAAAACCTTCAATAAGTTGCTGCAAGGTGTTATCACTGCCGCTAAAGTTACCAATCAGCTGTAGTTTTAACTTCTGATGTATATAGTAGCGATATTGATTAAAATCACTATAATCTTTGATGCAAAAATCTTCATTGCAAATGTATAAATTTGCTAAATTTGCCAAATTTATGAGCAAATTTATAAGACTAGATTTTTTTTGGTAGTTATGGACTGCATGGGAAAATGTGCATTAAATATGTTGATGATTATTTGATAGGAAATACTTGTAGATCTCAAGTATTCCTATCAAGAGAGACGAAATCAGCGGATAAACTCAAAATCTGATGGGAAATCACACCAAAAACAGTAATTTTATAGAAGAAATCACATAACAAAGAGCAACAAGATACAATTGATCCTCTATTCGAGAGGAGGATCGTTGTCTCCCAATCCTTGGTCCAAACTAAGGCCCAAGACACCAAAAGAAGGAAACCTCCACAATAATGAAAAATCAAAACATAACTCTAACCCTATTTTTCATCATACTTGAGGCATGCAATTAAACAATAGAGCCAAAATACCAAAAAGCCCATGCAGCCCCCTCCTTTGTCTCCAAATTTGAATTTGAATATCAAGTGGACCACACCCTTCTCTCTCTCTCTCTTTTGCCAATGACCTTCCTGCTGTAAACCGAACCTGCCCCATAAAAGGGGCCAGCTGGACCAGTCCACTAAGTACCGCTCTAACATTATTGCAACATAAAAGGATTTTGAGTGAGAGCTTAAGAATGAGAAAGTGAGATTATTTGTGTTTGGGAAAATGAGATCCTAATATAATGAGTTTATAAATCCGAGTGAGTAATTCTCCAATCGTTATAAATAAATGAAACCCCATTGTTCTTGGTAGAGTGAACCCCCACTTGAATCAATATAATTAATCTCACTGTCTTAACCTAAGAGTAAGTATATAAACAGGATGGTTGATACTTCATATTAATCTTTTATTGGAGGTGCATAGAGGATATTTTTAATGGTGCCTCAAAACAATAGTCGGATGTCCTGATTATGTCCATAGATCATAACTTCCTTTACCAAAATAGCATCTTTGAGTGCACGAGTAATCTTACACGTATCAACCCTATTTTATTCTCATTAGCAAGAGCCAAATGCATAAGCATGCTCTTTATAAAGGGAGATAACCTTAATTCAGTGATGATCAATGAAATGAACGGTTTTGAAGGTAGAGCATAGTTAGGTGCTACATGACCTTTGCTCTTGGATAGAACGGTTCTGATAGAACGGTTCATTATGTGCACGAAGAGCCTTTTAACGCAAAGCTGAACCTTATTATGGTGGGACTGAGTTCCCTTTCATGAAGATTCTCTCATAAGCTTTACCACTAATGGAATCACAAATTACTTTTTCTCATGACAGAAGTCAATCGAAAAATTATTGATGAAATTATAGATACATTTCATGGGCATCAACTAAATTTTCTATTCAATTTGGCTGAAGTTTAGAAGTACCAATATTTGTCAACTTGTTGATGAACTTAAAGCTCATATGTATTCTTGATAATTAACGAATGACTCAAACAAAATCACAACTTGTTCGTATTTTAATTGGCTACAACCGTAGCAACAAAGGAACAAGCAAATGAGTATAGAGAATAGGAATGGAGAGTGGCAAGCTTTTAAAATTGGGAAAGATGTTCTGATGAAATAAATGGTAATGATTTCTACATTCATAGAATCATAGTAGAGAGAAACATTAATAAATGTAAAGATTTCTACATTCACAGTAGAGAGAAATAATTAGAATCCATATAAAAGGACAAGAAAGAAAAGTATATAACAAATTGCTACAAATAATTTTATGAAATTTACCCCAATGAGAAAAAACTGTGAAGCAGCGACTATAAGAACAATGAAAGAATTTCTGGATATCATCCCCATATCTACACATCTAACAGAACCCAAGTTTACAGTAGTAATAACTTGATAGTAAAACTACTTATTTCTCTGCTCACTATTGATTACACTATATGAAGTGCACCTATTTTGCTCAAACTTACTTTCACCAGCAAAGAAATGTTACTTACATTAGGAGTCATTAAACTCCATAGGCACCGTAAATGGTGATAAAGAATTTGCAGGGAGGGTGATTTCCCCCCCTCTTAAAGAAACTGAGCTTGCTTCGCTTACAATATTGGAGTCCAGGTATAAAACTACTACAGTTATATCATCATGAAAGTGGCGGCGCACACCTCGACCAATCTTCATGATATCAGAGTATCTGATCTCCCTCTTCTTTGCTGCTTGTTGTAAAGCAGCCATCACAAGCCTACGAGCAATTCCCTGCAGGATTTTAGTAAAAGTGAGTTAATTGTCATCTGAACACAGAAAGGAAGACAAATTTGTTTCCTACGCACTAGATGTTGCTAAAGTTAAAAATATTCTTTTGAAATTTACCAGCGGGTTTAAAGGACAATCTATGGTAGTATGGTAATATATGGCGCTCATGACTGATTATACTTTAAGGAGCTATGGAGCATTTAGACTTATTTCATAAGATCGTTCAAATGACAGAATCTTGACAATTTCATGTGCTTAAATAATTCATAAGCATAGGATTTGTTGCGTCCAAGAGTATTCGCGGCGGTAGAGAAATATAAGATTTAACGTCTTAGCGTTGTACGAAAATCCGGCACGTAATCAGATAAAGAGAGAGGGTCTAACATTTATGAGACACCGAGATTTTTACGTGGAAACCCTAAAAAGGGGGAAAAACCACGGGGCCTAGCCCAGTTTGAATGAATCCACTAGTATTGTAGTTGATTAAAAATGAGGTCCTTCCGGTGGAAGGTCTTAGATTGATGTACATCTTATGGAGTACATTACATGATGTTAATACAAAGAGTCATTGTTGACATGTTCGTTTGGTCGGAAGGACCGTAGTCGGAGGGCGACGGAGGTCGGAAGACTTGTAGTCGGTGGGCGACGTATGTCAGGAGGACCGTAGTCGGCGGGCAACGGAGGTCATTTCAGCATCACGTGGAAGTTTGGCAAAATTCTGGCGTTTTCCCGAATATCACGCAGAATCCCGACGTGTTCGGGCGGCGGGAAGAACTCCGGTGGTGGTCGAGGAGGAGTTGATTCTCCTGCCCCTTCTCTTCTTCTTCACTTCTTCTTCTTGCTCCGGTCCCCCCTCATGAGAAATGAGGGGTCTATTTCTAGATTTTTTGGAGTGACATGGCTTGTAAATAGGTGTGAGATCATGGGCGAATAGGGAGTGGTCGAATGGACGGCCGATATTGAACCATTTGATCATGCACCGTTCGTTGGACATTTGGAGGCCTTAGTGATGTCGGAATTCGGCGATCTTGGGCTCGTTGGATTCGTCTCGTTAAGCCGTTCGATTCGAGTATAAGCTCGTTAAAATCGGAGACCGTTTGGTAACTCAAATTGTGGTTTGAACCTTCCAACAGCGCTTCGGGTCCTTGATTTGGACCTATTTGGGCTCGGATTGAGTTGAATTTGATGTCGTTGGGTTCGTATTTCCGAGACGCTCAATTTGACTGTAAGCTCGCTGAAATCAAAGTTCGGGTGCTTCCGATTTAAAATTTTGAAGTTTCCGGGTTGGGTTTTGCATCGAGATTCGTGCCCAATCAAGATAATTTCATGATAACGTATCAGGATTTATTATGCGAGAGAAGCACAAAGAATAAAGCATGGATCTTTTTCAAAAAAAAAATCACCATTGAAAAAACAAGGTTCTTGAAATGGAATGGAGTTATACCGGAATAAACTAGAAAGCTCTAGCTAATTTATACAACAAAAATTTAATACAATCATTACTCCAAAAGGATCATATGCTTAAGTGAATATATGAAGAAAAATATAGTAATCTTGGACATCTATAAATATATATATTCCTTAATTCAGTAAATATATGAAGAAAATGTTCCTTACTCCACGTTATATAAATTGTTAAAATTAACTTAACAAATTTATGCTTCTCTAGTATTTACTAGTAAGAAGGCCAATATATTGGATTTTTTTAAAACGTAATTCATTTGTAAGGTTTTTTAATTATCACTTGATCAGCATCTTTTATCTTTCCAAAGCTTGATGTCTTACTAAACTATTTCATTTCATGAATTTTTTAACTATCTACTATGAATGGTGTAGATAAAGATCATCAAATAGAAAGAAAAAATATCATATTTTTCCCTTGCTATTTCTCTCCCTATTTAAGTGTGTGACCTGCTTCTTATAAGATATTAAGAGTTCATTCAAGGTTGGATGTAACAGTCAGTGGAAGTAAATACACTTTTTAAAAGCTGCTGTGGATATTTGTAACTTTCTTCCTTTAGGAAAAAAGGAACAAAACTTTCTTACAAATACTGCACTCTAGTAGATTTGATTATAAAAAATTATTTCTCATCAAAAAAAGTTATGAAAAACAACAAGAAATATGTAGTCAAATAAAGATGTCTGAAAAGCAAAGATGTAAGAAAGCTGCACAAAATGGACCCTGAACAAAACAAACTAAACTATATGCTAAAAAATATTGCTTAAATTCTATATAATTATTAGAACAGCTTTGGAACTTTTTTCAGTTGTTTTGAGAGGGTGAGAACAGTCTATTATAATGATGTATGAGCTTTATGAAATTGAGATGAGAAAGAAAAAAAGAAAATGGATTTCTTACTTTCAAATCTGAAATCAGAGTAGCCAATATAGGGAAAACAGTTGATGAATGACAAAAGAGGAGAAAGGTTTATTATAATGAATTAGGAACTTTATGAGAATGAGTTTGAGATGAGAAAGCAAAAAAAGAAAATGGATTTCTATATCGTGAGTCTAAAATTAAACAAGCAAAGATAGGATTAAGAGATTTTTAAATTCTCTTCTTTATAAAGCTCCCAAAACAGATTGCTTAGCAAAGAAACCCCCTTTTGTTCCATTGAGTTCTTCAATGAGATTGGAATCCATGCTGAAAAGAGAGAATTAGTTTGCATGCACACAAATCAGAAGCTTTATCAAAATGGGTTGAGAAAGCAAAAATGAAATGACTTTTTCATCATGGGAATCTAAAATCAAACAATCAAACATTGACTCGGTAGTCTTCAAATTCTCTCACTGACAAACCTCCCAAAGGCAGATTGCATACCAAGCAAAGGATAATCTTTTTTCTTTCATTCGTGTTTATTCGTATTTAACATTGAAATCGAAAAAGGATATGATGGGAAATACTTGATTTCAAGTATTTCCTAGCCAAATCTGAAGTAAATCTCAATGAAATCCGCTGTTTACAGCAGAAAAACAGCCAGAATAGTGGAAAAAACAGAGAAAATAGTGGAGAAAAAAATCACCCAAATAACTTGTATTTTACTAGTAAATGAAAGAAAAACAGCAAAGATACAAAGATCCTCTATTCGAGAGGAGGATCACTCTCCCAATCTCTAGAAATTGGATCTAGAGCCCTAGCACCCAAAGGACAACAAGAGAATTTCTGAATAATCAAAAGCATCCCCTCACCCTAATCTCCCTCCCATACTTAAAGCATACAATTAATTAAAATACATAAAAGGACCAAACAACCCCTGCCGCCCCCTCCTTTTGAATTTAAATTTATTTTGAGCAGTGGGGCCCACCCTATGGGCGGGATTAGTAGAGGGAGGCAGACTGTTTCCGCCTCCTATAGACCCGCAGAGCCGGCCCCTTGGCCGGTTCACCTTGAACCGGCCTAACAGGATAATCGGTTGCAGGCATGAACTATTACAAGAAATTGATTACTACAACTATTAAGATTCTGAGGTAAGTATAGAATTAGTGGTAGTTAAGGCAAACAGGTAAACAATAAATGTTTCTAAAAATGGCTGGCCATGTCATCTAACATGTTGAGATTCCAAGTAGTGTAGCAGATAAACATTTGTAGTTTACTCCCTTCACAAGGTACCCGACGCATCAAAGATAAAGCCCTCAAAGAAAAGGATTTAGATGCGGGAGTGAATAAAATCTTCCAAATGAATTAGATGGAATACATGTGGCATAAAAGAGCGCATTTTTAAAAAGTCCACATAATTTTTAAAAATTAGGAACTCCTGCAGTTCTCTATCAGGGCCACCAATTTTCTTGGGTATGACATTTAGAAGAGAATTATCAGATGAAGAGCAGCATGAGAAATCCAAAAAGACAGTTCATTGAAGAAAATAATTAGTATTATGACAAAAGGTTTTGCTTCAAGAAAGCCATGAACATGAAAGTGCTCCATGCAAGATCTTAACTATGTAAGAATCATAAATTTACCTGACGGGGGTTCTTCTGAACAATGCTAACAGCATCCTGGTTGCTGATCTGCTCCCACAGCCCATCAGAGGCAAAAATAAGAAATTTATCATCAGGATGCACTGTTTGGACAGATATTGATGGCTCTGCACTAAGTATCGGTTTCTTAAAAGTTTCCTTCAGGCGAAATTTTTCATAGAGTGGCTCCTTGTTAAATTCTGCCTTTTTAAGGTATGCATCACCTATGGATCTGGAAATCTGCATAGAAAGACTACGCTTGCATGAGCTAATTTTTCAAACATTTATTGTCAAAGACAATATGAAATATCAAATAAGGTTGAAGTCAAGCAAAGGAAAAACAAAGTAAAAACAATAATGCCCATATTTTAATGTAAATTGCAAGGTTTTAAAAACCGAACCGGACCGATCGGTTCAACCGCGAACCGGCCACAAGTCCGGTCTGGACCAGTTTGAAAACAGCCTCTACATAGAACAGCTTTGAACCGGTAAGAACCGCCAAGCCGGTCTTGGTTCTATTGAACCAGCCGGTTCAATTGACATACTTTTTAAATAATTAAAATGAAATAAATGATGTTATTATATTATAGATTAAATAAATAAATGAGTTATAATAAATATTATATGTATTTTAACCAAACCATCATGAAGCATACTCACATGGTCCACCACTCCATGTGATCTCTTAACACTAGGAAACTCAAAAAACTATATAAACAATAACAAAGAATTTCCAAGCGATGTGGGACCAAAGAAAAGAGTTGAGACTTGAGAGGTGTATAAGGCTATAAGCTCATAACATATATAATATCTATGCAATTTATTTTTTAAATAGATTTTTAATTAATTATTTATAATATGAATAATACTTATTTATTAGTTAATAATAATAATTTATTTATTTATACACTATAAAAAATAATTTTTAGATATAAAGGTTTAAAATAAATTTGATGTATAACATATACATGTAAAATATATTTAATAATATAACATAAATTAATAATAATTTATATTAAATTTATAAACTCATGTTAGAATTAAATTTGTATTAAATATGTAATATAAATTAGTAACATAAAAATTAGCATATTTAATCACATGTAAAATATATTTAATCATATAACACAAAAAATTGGAATGTTATTATGAGTGTAAATTCTTATAATTATGATATTTAAATTTTTTTGCTCTTATATGAGATTTTAAAATAATTTTTTTACTTAATTATGTAAGTTATATGTTTTATAGTTTTTTATTTCGCTTTTTTTTTAATATTTGGAATGATAAGATTATTATCATTGTAATTTTATTAAATTTTAATAACATTATTATTTATTATGTCATCCGGTTCGACCCCGGTTCGACCGGTCAAACCGTGAACCTCTCCTTCTTATGGTTCGATATCCGATCTAGTTTTCACAACCTTGGTAAATTGATCGGACAATCAAAAAATAAGTTTAACCAAAAAAATGCATAACATGCATGTAATCATACATAACCAAGTCCATTCAATAAAACATCCATGTAGGAAGAATTACAGAAAAGATACATGCTTTAATGCCTATATATAGATGAAAATTACCTGGATAAGGCCCTTAACACGCCAAACATTGTGCTTCAGTACCACAATCTTTGAATCTTCAGGGTGCAATGCTTGCAGCTCCTTTCTAACAGACTCAATTGATGCATTGTGCTCAGGTGACAACTGCAGAGCCAGAACCTCCCCAGTTGCTCTGACAAACCTCCCCAGAATAGCCACTGAATCTCCAAGGTTAGCAACATAAATTTTGCCATCACAAACTACCCCGACAAGACAACAAGAGCCAACAGAAGCAATTTGAGGATTTAGCGGCCATTCTTTAGATACTAAAGATAAAAAGCCATCTTCTGTAGCTTGGATTGCTTTCCTCAAGACATCCACAGACATGAACTTTTGATCGTTTACAAATCCTGCCAAGAATTTGTAAAATGCTCTCTGAGTATATTTGATGAAAACAGAATTGCTCGTTTACAATTCAAATCATGATTCATTAAACAAGTTAGTTAAACTGCTAATGAAAAAGAAAACTTGTATTAATAAAGCATGCCCATTAATGAAAGTACCAATCAAGAAGCAGCTACAAATATCAACAAGGAAATCATAAAGGTAATCTAGAAATATAATATAAGGAAATGCAAAAATATTAAACCAAAGGGCCAACTTCAGTGCCCTTAAATTGTCCTTTCACCCTCTTTCCTAGTTTACACTATCTAATATATGCTCATAACTCTCCTCATTACAATGTGATTCTCATCTAGACCTAAAACTTTAGATTTATGCATATTATTCAGAACTAATTCCACTTGCTTTGAACAATCTATGATTGATGAGGACATCTAAAAATCTTTCATCTCTAAATTTTAACACTTCCAAAATTACGCCTTCATCTCTAAATTTTTTTTATCTCCACTTATAATATATAACTTGGTAAAAATCTACAATCTCTTATTTTTTTGGCTTAGTTATTTTAAGTGTACAGCTTTCTTCTTTCTTGCATATAGTGATGTAGACAAGGAATATAAATGACCCTATATTTCTTGAACACAAAAGACACACGAGAAGAAAACTGACAAAATAAGAAGAACTTAAAACAAACTTTGTTAAATAAACTCAAACGACCCAAAACTTGACAAACACAACAAAAGATGCTAGGAGATTTTAAAGAAATAAAGAAACTTAAAAAGACACTATCCTCAGACAACCGTCAGAGCGGGTTCCTCACATGCATCGAATTTGTAGGTTAAATAAGTAAAGTGCATAGAACTAGCAAACCGATGGTCCACCACTGCAAGATTGGCCAATTTCTTCAACAGATGCTTCAAATCAACTCTGATACGACACCCTAAAGTTGCTTTACTTTGAGAAGAAGGATACAGATGGAGTGGCACTTGTGGAGAGACGAAAGAGGTTAGAAGCCCGAGAAGAAAGGTTGGAAAGAGCCCGCAGGATTTCCGGAGGGGATGAGAAAAGAAGGTTGGAAAGAGCCCGCAGCATTTCCGGAGGGGATGAGAAAAGAAGGTTGGAAAGAGCCCGCAGCATTTCCGAATAAACCCGCAGGTTAATAGCAAATATGCTCACAAATATCAACTGCCTTTTCCTCACAACATCATCTCATTTTTATAGGCAAAGAAAAGGAATGCCAAAAGCCACCTTTATGAATGCACACATCATCCCAAGCATTATTTTCCATAGGATTTCCAAAAGCCCTTTTCGGAAAATCAACCCAGCAGCTCACGGAACCAAGGCACCAGCAAACAGGCGGAAATTTCAAAGCAACACAGTAACGGGAAAAAGCATCCCATTTCGAAAATCAGCCCCTTATTAATTCTGAAGGAATAGTTACAGGAAACATTGGTAACTCACGGCACCAAGGAGCCATAAAGCAAGCAGCCCGCCAGAATCCAAAGCAGCAAAGCATCGGGAAAACAAAGATTGGCTGAATTCCCAAAGGAAAATCAATAACTTCCCAATGAATTCTCGGCATAGAATTCAACCCCCATAAAATACAAGCCACGGAATCCCAAGAGACAAGAAGAAAAGGGGAAGGGGAAGGGACAAGGCCACTCCAAAAGTAAACTTCATAATGATGTACCTTTTTGGATATTAATGAGCTACTAAACTTCAGCTAAAGCAACTTAGGGAACAAGCTCAAAACCGAATGCTCCAAAACAGCCAACCCGAGAACCACCAGCAGCCAGGGACCAATCGAGCCAGCAAACCAAAGGTCTACCAAGCCATATGCACTACCTATCATGATCATTGGATGCTTTCCCATCATTGGATAGCTAAAAAACAAAAAGAAAACAAAATACACTATTGTTCAAATAAAATAAAAAGTACAGAAATTCTTGATAGCATCATATAGTCAATTACATAAATCATAGAAAATAATAGTATTTTGGTTCACTTATACTGGTTTGACTTTTAGTTTTCTTATAATCATTATGACCTTTAAGGCTTTAATAATATTTTTTTGTCATTCTTTTAAAAACATATTTCAGCAAGGATCAAGGATCAGCTTTAAGCCCATGTCCTTTTGCTCTAGTAATGGATGTTCTTACTAGACATTTGCAAGAGAATATACCCCAGTGTATGCTTTTTGCTGATGATATTCTTCTTATTGATAATATCAAAGAGGGAGTTGAAGGTAAAATTGAACGATGGAGATCAACCTTAGAGTCTAAATGTTTTCGTTACTGTAAATCTAAAATTAAATGCATGGAGTGTAACTTTTGTAGTAATAGATATAATGGGGGGACTCTGACTTTGGGTGACCAAATCATTAACAAGAGTATACGTTTAAGATATCTCGAGTCTATTTTTCAAAGTGATGGTGAAATAGATAGGGATATTATTAGTAGAATAAAAGTTGGATGGTTGAAATTGAAGAATGCATCATGCCTGTTGTGTGATAGAAAAGCACCCCTCAAACTTAAGAGAAAATTCTATAAGATGATGATGAGACCTGCAATGCTTTATGGAGCATAATGTTGGCCGTTAAAAGAGAAGCATTCAAATAAGTTAAGTGTTGCAGAGAAAAGGATGCTTGGGTGGATGAGTAGCTTCACTCAAAGGCAGAATGTAAAACGAGTATATATGTGAAAAGGTTGGAGTAGCTCTAGTGGCAAATAAGATTAGAGAGAGTATAATACCTTAGATGGTTTGGTCACATAAAATGTCGGCCTTTTGATGACCTGGTTAGGAGAGTAGATATATTAGGTTTGGCCTATGTTAAGAAAGGTAGAGGTAGAACTAAAAAGACTTTGTTAGAAAATATAAAAATGAATTTTTATTATTAGATTTAAATGAGAATTTGACTCTTAACATGACACTATAGAGAAAAAGTAATCACATAGCCTGCCCCACATAGTTGGATAAAGGCTTGATGTTGTTGTCTTTTAAAACATATTTCATTTCCTTAATATTTTATACCTTCTCACTCTATTAAATGTCCTTAAGGTTCATTTGGTTGCTTGAAAAAAGAAATCATGATATGAAAAACAAATAAATTTGCTAAATCCTTCATTTGGTTGGACACAATCATACATCACTTTGATTTCAAACTCAACAAACCTTCTCAAAACTCCAACAAAAGTAATTATTTCATTTTCAAACCAATATATATATATCATTTTCCGAAACGCATTTCTATTTACAAGCAACCACACTAGCCTCATCCGATACTATGATTTATTTTAACTTCTACAACAATCTTCTTAGTTGATTACCCATCTCATCTTATACCAAGTTTGACTCAATTCAAACATTTTAATTTAGCTCTCATAAAAATCTATTATGAAATATTAACTACTTCTCACCTTTCAAGCTTCACCATATCATAAGGTAATTATTTTTTTATGATCAAGGCTTTTTTTCTCCTAAGACATGCATCAAGACTAAAACTCATATAATCAAACTCTCTTAGTATCACCTTACAATCTTTGTAAGAAGAGTTTTTTTTTTTCACTAAGTAAAAAAACTATTTGCAATTTGGTAATCAGCATTGGAATTTAACTATGTTAACTTCTTGTTTCTTAATTTTGTTTTCATTATTGCAAGAATGATAGATTAATGTAAAATCAAATATAGCTTATCACACATTTTTTTATCTATAAATTCATATTTTCCATGAATCCTTTTATCCCAACTAGCAATATTATATATGTCCATTAAAGTCATCCAAATAACTAACATCTCTTTCTTAGGTACAAATTATAATAGTTCATCCATTTCATCTCAAAATTAAATAATCCAATTATCTTCTAATTCAAACTAAGGAGCATGAGCACTAATCACATCTATCATTATCCTTATTGACCTCAACAATTATATTTTTAAAATGTCTACCCACTATAATATTTCGAACATATTTTTATCAATATTTCGCATGTATTTTTACCGATAACCTTTTTAGTATGAAATAACTTACAAATATCCTTAATTTCCTTGGACTTCCCCCTTTCATTTAATTTACTTCTAACATGCAATAGTGATTATTTTTGTAATTATTGTGCCCGCCAATTTTCTTCTTTAAATTCAAAGTTACCCAAATTTATGTAAAAAATACATCTTAATTCTAAATTTACACAACCCTAACCCAATTTTTATCACAATTAGGTTAGGTTGTGTCATGTCACTTGCAAGTCATTTATGACCAACCCTTACTACTTTTCATCAAAATTGGGAGATAGCTACAAGTGATGCCCAAGTAAACATTTACCTACTCTTCTCACAACATTCAATATACGATTTAATGTATAACTAAGAACTTGCTACTTCATATTTGGATTCACCTAAAGAATTTTAACATAAGTTTTATGATTGGTGGTCAATCTAACATCCTCAAAGAAAATAGAATCAGCTTACTTTCAAAAGTTGGAACAATGTTAGAAAATTATTGGCTTACTACTTAACTTCTAAAGAACATGATGCTTCTAAAATAAGAACTATAGCTTGACTAGCTAAATTATCATAGGATAACCATACACCACAAAGTCAAAAAACTAAATCATGCTGCACAAGAAAAATATCTGAAACACTATAAAGAATGAGTGAAATAGCAAAGACTATATATTTATAGTCCAAGAAACTTACTCTTCATGTGGAAAAACAAATGGTTACAGATGTATCGAGCCGCCTCAGGTCCGCCGTGACCATCATAAACCCCAACAAAAGTCCCAAAAGGACCAGAATTGAGCATGCTCAGAGAACCAGACTCAACCTGGCTCTGATCTTCAAGCAAGTTGTTAGCCTGGATGACAGCCATTGAGAACTCACCATAAGCATGCTGACCATAGTCCTTGTACCAAAGGACTCCATCTTGTCGACCAAATTCATCAGAACTTGAACTTGAATGATGCTTTGATGATGACCGCCAGCAACTACGCAGGAAGTTTATCAACAAAGTTAACATCCCTCATCCCAGCTAAAAGTGCCTCCCAAGTCTTTGATCTTACCAAAAGCAAATCTTGCAAAACGCTGCAATCTGTAACAAAAGGTGCAATAAAATGGATCATAACATATCTATTCATGACGAAGAAGCAAGGAAGTTAATGAGTTTGAAAAAGTTACCCATCTCAGTTAAATAAAATCAATAAATGTGAAGCTCGAAACTTTACAGAGAAAGCGATTCAGACTTTTTTTTTTTTCAAACTTTTTACTTCTCTGCTTCCATCTGTTTCAATACCCCCATTTTCAAAAACCTAGAGCAAGGTTTCAACCACAACACCAAGCATCAAAATCTTTCTTTTTTTTCCGGTTTAACGCAGAAAGGGACACACTAAACTAAAATCCAACTCAGTAGGGTTTATAACGGAGCATCAGAAATCCAACCCTACTTTCCCAAACAAGTGCACAAGCAGCCTCTCCTTTTACTCAGAACAGAGAAGATACAATGAGAAAAACATAACCAAGAAAACAATTTGTAGCAGAAAACAAAAACCTACCTCCCTTAGACGACGAACCAGAGAAAGGCGCCGGGATGATTGGATGAAAACAGGGACGCTTATAGATCCGAAGATGGACGAACTAACGACGAAGTTAAGAGGGATAAAAGGTGAGCTTTTGGGGGGTACAAAGGAAACACTGAGTAGGACGGTGGAGAAAAGGGAGGATTTTGGCCCCGCACTGGATTCCAGCTTTCAAACGCGTCGATATGGAGATTGAAAAGAGCTGATTTCCCTCTGCTTCTCCTCTTACGCGATCATGGAGCCTCATAGGGGAAATGGCTCCATTAAATGGACAAAAAGAAAGGCACGCTGAAGGCCAGGTCAGCCATGGGCTCCACTGCACGGCGGCCATCGATGCGACGGCTGCAAGCAACAGGCGGGAGAGATCGAGAGGAAGTGGATTTGGATATTCTCTAATGAATTCCCCCAAAAAAAGATAATCTCTAATGACCGTGTTAATTTAATCTTACACAAGAAATCAAAGTCAAAATAGCTCTGCTAAGGATAAAAAAATTACTATTTTGTTTTTTTTTTTATTGTTAATTTTGGCATGTCTTATTTAGATATATTACATACTTATAATTTATAAAAAAATTATTTTCTTTTAATTTTTTTATTTATTTGTCACTTTTTTATTTAAAAAATTAAAATATTTTATAAAAAATTATATATAAATTAATATTAAAACATACTTGTAGTTTTAGATATAAAACTAGATAACTTATTTTATTTTTATATCAAAAGGGGACAAAGACTACAAAGTTCAGCATAAAAAACTTGATGCTAGCATTAGGAGTCAAAGTCGATATTTATAATTGATACGGAATCACAAAATTAGCTTGATCGGGCACGAATCTCGAGGCAAAAGCTAGTTGGAAGCTTCACAAGGGGACTCAAGTGAAGAGAGAGAAGAAGAAGAGAAGAAGGAGGAGAAGGAAGAAGCTCCTCCTCGACCACCGTCGGAGCTCTTCTTGCCGCCTGAAGACGCCGGAACTCTGCCGGATTTTCGGGAAATGTCGAGAATTTGCATAACTTTGTAACTTTGTGAGAAGTTGATTGTAAACTGATCGTCTTGATTTGTAAGATGGATCAACCTTTGTACTCATACAAACACTATTGGAACTTTACAACTGGGCGAGGCCCCTTGGTTTTTCCCTTTCTGGGTTTTCCACGTAAAAACTCTGGTGTTCATTTCTCTTTTCTGTTTGTGTGCTGAATACTCGTGCAATGCTAAGACGAATATTTTCTAAATTTACTGCCGCGTATATTCTAGCACGCAACAATAATATATATTTTCCTTATAGGCAATGGAATGTATTAATGATATTGGCGACGACGAGTGATGAAGTTGGAGGACATCGATGTAGTTGAGCAATAATGATCAAAATACTATAATCAAGTAATAATTATGAGAAGATCATAGCAGGGTAATTGTGATTAGCGGACCGTAGTAGAGCAATAATTAGATTATTGTAATTGAGAAATGATGATTAAAGGATTGTAATTAATGATTATAGATGGAAGATCATAGTACAAAGATAATGTGCTAAGGACCATGATCAAACAACAATGATCAATTGAGTGGAGTTGGATGATAGTGATTAAATGGTTGTAGTCAAAGGATGGCTATTGAAAGATTGAAATGGGGTGACAATGGTCAGAGGATCATAGTCAAAACGATGATAACATGAGGATCGAAGTTTGACAATAAAAAACAAAGAAACGCAATTAAGAGAGCTAGTAAAAGAATCGTAGTCCTAAGATAGTTGTTAGATGCTAAAATTGAATGATGATGGTCGAGAGATTGTAGTAGGGAGACGATGGTCGGAGGACCAAAGTTAGACGATAATGGTCGGGAGATTGTAATTAAGCAAAAGTAATTAGGAGACTACAAATGGGTGTCATTGGTTAAAGCATCTTAGTTAGGCGGAAGTGGTCGAAGGACTGTAGGCGATGGTTCACAATAGTGGTCGAATGACGTTGGTGGTGGTCTGACAATAGCAATGGGATGACAAATGATCTAATGAAGTTATGAGATTCTTTAAACCTCTTAGCTCTTTTAAATCTCAAGCCAAGGTTTTTGAGAGCGGGGGTCCATTTACTTGATATTGACATGTTTTGTAAATATAATTTGGAATATTCCATCAAACAGCTCATATTAATCTCCTTGATTAGTACTAATCATTCCTTTGATATTTGGGCGCCTTAATGACATTAAAATTAAGTTATCTTAGGCTCGTTGGATCCGCCTTATTGAGAAGCCCGATTTAAATATAAAAATACAATATGTTGAAATTATATGGTTATCTAATCATCATCTCAAAATTTGTAACTATATTTTCATTATTTGATATGAACTCATTTGGACTTGGATCAAAATAATCAAATCACAATTATTATTAGGTTCATCTCATTGAAAAGTTCACTTCGACTATACATTACTCGAAATCAAAATTTTGATGATTCTTAATTTAATTATGAGAAATTTAAATTTAAATCTTAGCTTGATTGAATGACTTATCTAATAACATGAACTTCACAAAAAAAAAATTTGTTGAATTACGTACAGGGTTCTATCTATAAATCCAAGAAAGTTGAAGGGTTTAGCGATAAGAGTTTGAAGTCATTATGGAAGAAATATTTGATATGTGGTGCTGATCAACAAATAATAAATTTATTAATGTTTCCAGTCAATTATTTAGGGATAATTGTCTCATCATTAATAAAGCAAGTTCATCACGCCAGCAAAGCAGAACAAAATTGTTTATTACGTTACTGCCCTTAACAACAATTAAATTATTTGCAAGCATTTTTGCTGAAATATCCTTTACTAGTCTGTCTCCTAATGAATATTTATAATAAGTACACATGTACGAGTGAACTTTTCTATCTCAGTTGTTGATAGAGATGAAGGCTTCGTTTGGGACGACTTTCTTTCTGCTTCTTACAGCAACTTTTTAGTATAAAAATTTAAATTTTTATACTAAAAAGTTACTTTATGAAGCAGTAAGAAAGCCGTCCCAAACGAAGGCGATGACTTTTGCACTGATTATTCATAGTAGAAAACTATAAATGGATAATTATGTATTGGTTACCATATAAATCAACTCTCCATTTATGTTTGATAGGAAAAGAGTATTTCGTATTCTAATAAAAAAGATTAGATGTGTCAATAAATGATCTGATCGGTCAACCTAGCTTAAATTTAACCTAAAAAATTTGGATTTGAACGGCTCGAATTCGGATCTGTCACTTTGACCAATTTATTAAATACGCAAATTCGAGTGGACATGCGAACTTATTTTTGACATAAAAGTGAATCGTTTAATATTTTATTTCTTAGATTTTTCAGCTTTGTTATTACGATCTTCTTGTTTTTTTATCAATTAACATAAATTCTATAGTAGATATATTATAATAAAAAATAATTAAAATGGTAGGGTTAGGTTTGGGTTGTTCGGGTTGCAAGCGAGACGGGATTCGGTCTACCTTTTTTACTCGTTTATTAAATAGGTCAAGTTCAGGTTGACTGAATTTAGGTAGAGTCAACTTCGAGTAGACTCCAACCTGTCGATTGGACCAGCTCAGGCATACTGGGCCTACTTAAATAATTTTGTAATTATTTAAATGAAAATTAATTAATAATAAAGGTGGTGCCTATTATTATGAATTGAATAGGTACAATCATTAGGCCCACCTGTCGATTGGACTAGCTCAGGCATACTGGGCCTACTTGAATTTGTCCAAGTTCATTTTGGCGTTTATGCATGCTTTTCATGACAATTTTTAGGCCCAAAGTTTTTTTTTTAATTAATGTTTTAAAATCATTTTTTAACATTTATTAGCCTCAATGAATCCTTTAGATTAATTTTGAGCACTCAAATGTTATTGTAAGTAAACAATTATAGAAATTTCGTCTAAAGAGTGCGCAAACAAATTCAAAGTTTTCGAGTTGGTCAAATTTTGATCCATTGGGAAGAATATGGCTATATTTATGGAGTAATTATTACGTCCGGACAAAAAACCGGAAATCCATACCTATATCGAGCAATACCGAGTTTTAGGTGATGTGACGCGTGTTTATTGGTCTATGGACGAGTCATGTGGCCTGACGTAATAATTGCTCCATATTTATGACGGTCGGTTTATGTTGACATTGAAGGATTAATCATACCTTAAAGTACTTTGGCAATTCCAAACTTGCATGAAACACTCACCTAGAAGACTCTTCGCTTGCAGTGAGAGACTCACCACTTGTCTGATGTATTTGCCTTCACAGACTCGGCCAATATATTCATTCTAGATGACTTGTTTCGAATAGTCGCTTTCAATGGCTCGCCTAAAGCAGTCACCATACAAGATATTCACTCTCATACAATACTCCCAAGAGACATCTAGAGTCATGTCAAATGTAGATAGCCACATGTGCGCATTTCAACATAATCCACATATTTGTATTAGTATGTACTTGTTAAATCATATATTGTTTCTCTAATTTTTTTGTTTAAGTGAAGGATTTTCTATAGCTCTCTTACTCAGGGAGATTATTTGCCTTCTTAACTACTCTTCATTCATTCTCTTGTTTTACATTTTACATAGTCAAACTTGTTAGTATGGTCAAATATCATTTAAGGACAAATTAGGATCAAGCATGAACAAAATCATGTTTTAGTTTTTAATTATAAGTTTTCTTATAATATTGTCAAAAATATTTGTGATTAAAAATAGTTATTTGATAATATTTCAATAATTATTGCTATAGATTTTTTTTTTTAACATCAATAGTAGCTATTTTTTAAAAAAAATTTGGATAGTTTATAAAAAGCTAAAAGACATTGATTTAATTATAATTTTTTAAATATTTTATTAAAATCTAATATTTAGGCTTCATTTAGGACAGCTTTCTTACTATTTCGCTTTTCAAATCACAATCACGATTTTTGTTTGACAATTTTATGCTATAAAGTTGTTTTTTACGACAGCTTTTAAAAAAATTATTTTCTTTACAACAGCTTTACAATCACAATTACAAAAAAAAAATTATGGCCATCCCAAATGGACCCTTAGTCACACTTAAGAATTTCTGATAAACAGCTCTGAAGCTTGCTAAGACAGTGTTGATTGCTGTGTCATTTAAAGTCACATAAAAGGATTATCTCTGAAATTCATCTGTATAGAAACTTTCTTGAGAAATTTTGTTCCATTGGAAATTTCTACAAGAAGTAGAAGGAAATATTTGAATCCAAAAAGAGTAAGGATAAGAAGAGAATGAATAGAAATGTTTTGTCCTTTGTTTCCTATTAAGTAATTAAAAAAAAAAAATTCTCTTCATTCAGAAAGCTAATTGATTTTGCAAAGTTGAAGGGATTTCCATTTGCTAAGCAAGTCTTTGAAGAATCAATTAGTTTTACACCAATTTGTTAAACTTCTCATATACAATAAATTTTTCAATATAAATTTAATAATTTTTATGCTCATTTTTATAAGAATATCATGACACAATTTTACTCCTACATACACAAGAAACATTTGGAGGAAACTTCAGAACTTAAATTAGTATATTAGCTAAAAAGTAACAAAATTAAATAGATAAACCAAAACTTAAAGCATGAATCTCATAATAAATACAGAAAAAATAAATCTTGAAAACTAAATTTCTATTTTTATTATTATTTATTTGTTAATAAATCAGAAATTTAAGTGATTGTGAAAGAGGGCCCCAAAAATCAGCTACCAAATAGAAACAAAATTGAGCTGGATTTGGGCTCATTAGTTTACAAAATGACTTCAATCAGAGCCAAAGGTTGATTTAGGGTTTGATTGGGACGCCTGAAATGTTTTATAAAGTTTGTTGTGAAGCTGTTGTAAGGAAAATAACTTAGCTGCTATGGTCACAAAAATAGTTTTTTAACCCTTAATTTTTGAAAGGTAGTGAGAAAGTAGCTAAAACAATATTAGTCACATAAAATTGTAATTTTTGTCTGAAAAAATAAAATAGGGATAAAACTATCTCAAACAAACTCTTAAATTTGCAGCATATGCTTTTTTAAAGCAACTTCTATTCGGTTCGTCTCCAAAGTCCTTTTTGTTGGGGATGGCCCAACGAAAAGGCTACTTAAACTAGAAATTATTCTGTGCGGAGTCCATGCAGGAAGAAGCATTCATACATAATGTGCATCAACTTTTAGTACACACTGTATGTACACTCACAGTCCGGACGATTCTTCCCATCCGGACTCCTCACAAAATAATTTTTTCCACTTAAACAGTACATTTCACAATCATTGAAGTAATGGCGAAAAAAGATGTTTTGGTCAAGCAGAATTCTTTTCCAATTATAGCTAGCAGAATTTTTCATAACATTCATGGAAACAAAGCAGGAAAAATGGAGTACACATTATATGTGATAAACCTAAGCTGCTGCTGCCTTGCTCTCTTGTCCATTGCTTTGTTTATCAAGAGAGGTGAGAATTGTCTTAGTATTCGAAATGTCTGAAAGTTCACCAGCATTGAGGATTTCATGATCATCTGATTCACTGTCTGCTTTTCTTTCTGGGGACGAGAAATCTAACCGCAACCCATTGATCTCTTCCTCGTATGAAGGTGTTAAGTTTTCCAGTGTCAATTGATGATACTCAACAAGTTGATGAAGGCATTGGTTCTCCCTGAGAAGGTTTGCATTCTCGTTTGCCAATCTGGATTTCTCAGCCAAAAGTGCCTCTAGTTGTAGTCTCACCTGAAGGCATTATCAACTCAATCATATAGTGAGGTCACAAGAAAAATTGTTTCAACATTGAGTAGGATCATGGTCCCGTTCAAAAATAATATGTTGAAAACTAAATGAACTCATATTAACTGATACTGTTAACTAAGGCTTCGTTTGGGCCGTCTTTCTTACTGCTGTTTAAAAAATTGCTTTAAGAAGTAGTAAGAAAGATGTCCCAAATGAAGCCTAAGTCTTCACAAAATCTACAATGTTATATTGAGCATTAGTTAACTGTAAAGTGCATACAAGCCATATATTTGCTGATATAGCCAGCCAACTTTTATCCCATCCACCTGCTACCTTAAATGATAAATGTTTTCAACTGCCGCCTTTGTTTTGCACAACTCATAAGAAACGCGATAGCTTTAAACCAATGTCAATATCAGAATTGAATTTTTTTAAGAGTTATCCTTCTAATAGTTGTGTTCTTCATAGAAAAACTTCTCTATAAACAAAAGACAGGGGAGAACTTGAGCAGGAAGAGCATTTGGACTAAAGTTTCATATACATCATCAACATTAGCTTACCCAGCTATTAGAGTTAGGACTTATGAGTTCTCATCTTTCATTCATTTTGCTGTGTGCTATAGTTCACTCTATTTTACATTCCTTATTAGAAATGATCTTTCTTTATTAGATTTAAATGAGAATTTGACTTTTTTAATTAGAACACAATGAAGAAAAAAGATTCATGTAGCCGACCCCACGTAGTGGGATAAAGGCTTGATGTTGTTATTGTTGTTGTTGTTATTGTATAGAAGAAGTATCTATAAGCTAAAAACCAAAAAGAACTTGAATAGAGAGAGAGCTTTTGGACTAATGTTTCATGTACCTCATCATCAACATTAGTCTTATCCCAGCTATTAGAGTTCGGACTTCTGAATCCTCATCTTTCATTCATGCTACATGAGGATTTTACTCTATTTTACATTCTTTTACAAGATTTTCAACCAAATTATCTTTGGTTTTGCATTTTTATTCTTAATCATTTCATATTAAGCAATGAAGCATGCATATTGTGACTGTATTTTGACAATATTACCCTTAAAACTCCATAACATTCTCATATTTCTATACTTTATAGGTATATCTTTATTTAACTATTGATTATAAAATAGTTGATTAGTGTATCTAATAGTTTGAACATCTATGATGAGGGGTAAAAAATGCCTCATTAAAAGGGAAGATAAAAATCAGCATCATCGGATGAATATAAGAAAAAAGATATAAATCTAAGGTAACGAAGATAGAAGTTGTTGAAAAGATTTTTCAAGATAAAATTAGTATCAGGAGTTTGAACAACTTAGCATACTAAACTTGAAACATGGAAAATGAGAATTTATAATGGTGGCCTCAAATAAGTGGGATTTGGCTAATGATGACGACAGGTTCATTTAATCCACCAACTCTTAATTATAGAAACTAGTCATATATTCTTTTGTTTTTTTTTACGTGCAGAAAGCTTACTAACTACTGTTCATGAAACGAAATATCAGTCACAAAACTCTTAATAAGATCAAAACAGTGGAATTATCAGTTAAGAAATAACAATTGAAGACAAATATCTTCATGGAGAAACAAATGTGTATTTTTAAGCTCCAGCAGAACAAACAAGCATAGGAATACCAAAAACATCTTTTAAACAAGGGGGAAAATAGTACAAATAAGATAAAATACCAGTTAAAAGATTACCAGATCATCTTCATCCGGCATTGCTCCTTTCCCAGGACCATCACGGAGCCTTCTATTTTCCTCTTCAAGCAGAGTACATCTTTCTTGCATAAAATTTAATTCGGCTCTTATCATTTTTAGTTCCTTTGCTAGTGAAGTTGCTTTAGACACCATTAACATTGCAAGCTACAAATTACAGAAGTAAAAATATGAACACGGAATTATCTTTGAAATCATATTTCTTTTACAATTAAAGTTGATAAATCTTACATTTTTCGTCTTATCTAGATTCACACTTTTTGTAACATCAATTGAATTCTGTTTATCTTCATGATTTTCCTTGAGATTAGCTTCTTCTTTTGAATCCTCCAGCTCCTGAACAACATTAGGACCACAGCGTTTCTTTGCTTTTCTCTGTTCATCCTCCTCATCGCTTGTTCTTGTGCTCTCTCTTTTCTGTGATTTTCGGAGAGAAGGCTTTGCTAGATCATTGAGCCCCTGTTAAAAAATGAGAACCAATTAAAACACTCAAATGAAGCAACTCTCCTTTATGTAAAAATCTAAAAATTAAAACCAATCTAAAACCGAGCTATGGCTGTTACAAAAGCTTATTTTTCTTATTTCATGTTACAAAAGCTTATTTTTTCTTATTTGATCATGTTCAGCTCGATATTTAGCTTAAGTTCTACTGGTTTTTATAAGCTTGTTTATTTGACTTGCAAAACACGAATAATGGTTTATTGCATTTGGTACAATAGTAGCTTGATATCTATCAATATATGCATGTATACTTATATGCATTTATGTATAAATGTGTGCATATTTATGTTTAGATTGTTTATACTCATATTCATATATTTACATATTTTTATGAACATATGTATGCTTATTCAGTTATTTGACTGTATAATTTATATATGGCTTATAAGGGCATCTCCAACCGAGCGCTTAACATGCGTGTGCAGTCGACCCGCTCCTCCAACCCAACTCCAAATCACTTGCTAATATCGCGAAGTGAATTGGCGTCGCATTGTTCAAGTTCATTGATGCATTTTATTTATTTTTAAATGATTAAAAATTAATATAAAAATATGAGATAGAATTACACTTAATATAGTTTTTTGGTGTTAAGAAATAGAGTTTGGTTGAAAATGAGTTCCTGCATTTTGGAGTGAAAAATGAGTTTTTCAGTTGGAGATGGCCTAATTAAATTCATGGGCAGCTCATATTCAGCTAAATAAGTTAACATGATGAACACAAATGAAAGTTTTAGCATGTTTGATTATCAAGCCAAGCTGAACAACACTTTGAGATCGCTCAAGCTCAGTTCTTTTACAGCCCTAAACCCAGCTCAGAAATCACAATTCCATTTAGCAAGTAATCCTACCACTAAAGCCGTATCCATTTTTTCTTGAAACTGCTTTAACAATTTCTACCTTCATTAAGGAATAAAAAAACAGAAAAAACATAGGTCAAGTAAAACCCTAAACGAACTACGATCAAAACTCCGCAGAATTAAAAAAAAAAAAACATTCTTTTCGAGTAGGACCAAAATTGTAAAAATTAACCTGTTGGGCTGCTCCTAAAACATCTGTTAGCTGGGAAAGAGAAGAAGAGACCGAATCCAACCCTTTGATTAAAAGCATAGAATCTTCCGTAAAACGCTTCCCACGCCTGGATTCAGCATCGCACTGAGCACAACCAAAAAGATTAAATCGTCGATGAATCAATTGGTGAGATACATAATGCTTTGACATCGGAGAAGGAGACGGAAACCAGAATAAAAGCCCTTACAGTAGTAGAGCGATTCAGTTTCGGATCATCTAGAATATCGTCTACACGATCACGAAGATTGATCCATAAGCGTTCGTCGGAAGACGGGCTAAGCAAAGCAGCTGATTCCATTAGGGGTTTCAGGAGATCTAGAAACGGAAGGGGAAAGTGAGTAACGGCTAGTGTGAGAAGTGCCCGACTACTGGAGAAAGGAGAACAGAGTTTTAAACTGAGTAGACGGGCCCACCTCTAACGTTCAAATTTCTCCGAACTTATTAAAGTACTTCATTAATCAAATTCACTTGTCATGCTAATCTTGAAATCACTTATCAACTGAAGCAACTTATAGTAATGAAATCTTAAGCAGGTGATGAGAAAATGATAATAATTATTATTATCACAGTATATATATATATATATAGGGGGAGAGAGAGAGGAATTGAAATTTATTCTTTTTTTTTTTTAATTTATTCATTATGAGGATACATATATAAATTGTAAATTTTATTTTATTTTAATGAGTTTATTTAAAATTATTTTAAAGAATAGTATTTAAAATTATATATTATATATTTTCTATTTTTTATTTTTTTGAAAAGACCGATCTAATTAGGGGTGTCAATTCCGGGTCACGTCTCGGGTTCGGGTCAAACCCGAAAATGACCCGACACCATTCGGGTCAACCCGAACTCGACCCGCTTTAGGTTCGGGTCAACCCGACCCGACCCATGGACACGACAATGCCGTGAGTCTTATGAACTGATATATAGAAATTGAACTACTCACCTCTTAAGCTCAACTTGTTGGCTTGAAAAACATAGAAACAGTTTGGGAACATTTTGTATTTTTATTGATAATTTTAACTTTTATAAAATGTTTATTTAATGTATTTACACATTTTTAAATATAAATTAAGTTGTTTTAATAAATATTTCACCGTCATTGACCAACATCTATAGCCGCCACCATCGGCAACCATTGGCCACCGCCACCAACTTGCATTGCACTACTGGAGATCACCTTCATCACCACATAAATCAATTTACTCAATATTCAATAAAAATTTTACAATATCAAATGTATTTTATTTTAAATCAAAACATAAATAAATATATATTGATGCTCGTGATTTTTATGCAGAACAAAAAATGGAAAATAGGAAAAGTTCTATGCCAATCTGTATTATTTGGCATCAGCGTGCAAATGCGAGTGCCCCATAAAATCCCACAAGCTCAACAATTCACCAACAAAATCATCACATACAACAGCTAATTACTCATCCCAACTGCTTTGGGCATTCAGGATTTGAAGTTCTGTGAAGAACTAATAGCTTCAGAACTTCAAATATTGGCCGGTAATACTGTAAAAGTTCCTAAACCTGCCACTGCCAACTTCAGAAAAAGCTCCAATCTTTCAAGAGAACTGTAATTTACTAGAGAAAGTTTGTCCAAACTCCCAGTTTTCTGGAACTGTATCTGTAAATACTTTTGTCTGAACATCAGTGGTGGTCTTGAAAGGAGAGTGACTGCCCATTTAGGTGAGCATTGGACTGCCAATTGGCACCCCAATTCCTTGACATTGTAAGCCACCCAGTCTTCGAACCATTGATCGACATGACCTCGATCGATCCACTGTCGCCTGGTTCCATATCCACTCGAATAGAGATTACCATATCCACAAGCTCCATCTACAGCAAAGTTGCTAGCAACCCATTGAGATCCGGCACCAAGCAAAGCGAGTACTAAAGACGCACTTGGTGATGAAATTCAGAAGAAACAAAAGTAATTGAAGAAGCACCCATAGTTCCTGAAGCATCACTCCCTCCATAGAATGTTGCTAAAGCCTTAGTTTTCGTTTGGGATGGCTTTTTTACTGCTTCTTAAAGCAGCTTTTAAGTATAAAATTTTAAACTTTTGTACTAAAAAGTGGTTTTAGGAAGCACTATGAAAGCAGTCCCAAACGAAGCCTTAGTCCACACTGGAGAAGGAGAAAAGCCATGAGCAGTAACAATGCTCCATAGGAAACAAAGAAATGAAAAGATGATCACCATGAACTCTGCTAAGAAGATGCTTTTTTGATAATGAGAAAAAGAGTGGCCTTTAAGTTGCTTAAATAAGATGAGAATCCTGTCTTTTAATGGCCATGATACTCTCATGTGAAAGTTACAGTCACAGCTCTTTGACTTTATAACATATAAAACAATTTCTTGTCTGGTTTGTTTCTGTAAGAGTAGATCTGATCAATCAGTCATGTGGCTTTAAACTTATATTAAATTTATCATTCTCATGTACCACTTTGCTATGGAGAAACTATTTTGTAAGGGCATCTCCAACCGAAAATTCCATTTTCACTCCAAAATAATGTGATTCATCTCCAATCGAACTCCATTTTGCGCCATTGGCAGAAGGTAACCGTCTTTCTCCTATTTCGTGCGTTTCTTCAGCAAATTTGATAGAGACAGAAAAATAACGAAGGTGAACAGTGCAACGCCAATATTGGCGTTGCACTGTTCACCCGCAACCAAATACCAGAAGTTTTATGGTTCAGCCGGAGCTCACGAGCGACGCCATTCATGCGTTCAGAGTTCGGTTGGAGAAGGCCTAAGGGATGAATGGCATTCTGTCATGATATATTTTATGTTTATAATCATATAATAAAACTATTAATAACAAAATCAAACAAGAGCTTTAAACCTATAGTTAGTTCAAACTTTAAAAAGAAGGTTTCCAAGATATCATTGCAAATTAAGGATGCTATGTCACAACCTAAATCAATATAATACATAGATAGGACGGCTCATATTGTGTTGAATGGTGACTGACTAATAAGCCTTAAGATCTAGTTTTGGAGAACTTTTTTAATTTCTTTTAAATGTTAACAGACAACAAAGCTGCTAATTTACTTCAAAAAAATATAAATGTATATAATAAAAATTTATACATAACAGTACATGGTTACAAATCAAAATAGAACAAAGGAATATAAGAATTTATGCCCATCACATATATCTATGTCTAATTTAAAATCTTACATAGGAGTTAATTAATTAAAATAAATAAAATGAATTTATAAGAATAAATAAAATATTAATAGAACACTTGTTTAAAAGAATAAGATGTTTTTGAAAATATCACCACCAAGGATCAGTTACGCCGCCAAGTGCATATGATCGTTTAAAAAAAAATCACTTATTTAAAAGAATAAAATTGTTTTGAAATAAAATTCAACTTATTTATTTTAAAAAATAAATAGCTGATATATTAATCCTATAAGGCTATAACAGCATTATATGACGACTAGGGGTGTCAATTCGGGTCGACGTGTCGGGTTCGGGTCAAACCCGAGTTGACCCGGATCTAAACGGGTCAACCCGAACCGACCCGTTTTTTGCAAACGGGTCGGAAATTTCAACCCGGATCCGACCCGACCCAGTCGGGTTGCCAGGTTGACCCGACCCGACCCGCGGGGCAGAGAACAAAGCAGTCGGAGCGCGACACGAGCGCGGCAGCGAGCGCGGGTTCGGCAGCGCGACAGCGAGCGCGGGTTCGGGTTCGGCAACAAGGGGGAATAAAAAATTTTTAATTTAAACGGGTTTTCGGGTTGACCCGGCAACCCGCCTGATTAACCCTAATCAGATCCGTTTTTCAAATAGGTCGAATCTGCGAACCCGAACCCGAACCCGAACGGGTCCAACCAACCCGGATTTTCTGGGTCCGATGTGGATCGGATTTTCAGATCCGATCAAATATTGACAGGCCTAAAGACGACGAGAAACTTCAGCAGGGAAGGGGTCGTACCGTAGTAGATTATCACTCCCGCATACGATTATTCTAGACAAGAAAGGGGAGATGGCGGTGATCTCCACTATCTTCCATCCGTTGCTGTTCCCCGGTTTCATGGACTCCCACAAATTACTGCAGAACCACAGATCAACCCTTGCTTCTCTCAAAGGCCGCTTCTTTCGAAACCCTAGCTCGTCAAAGCTTGTGGTCTTCGCGTCTGGCGGTGAGACCAATGGTAACGGGGAGGTTAAGGAACAAGAAGAAGCCGGCGACTTTCGGGGGGAGCTGAAGAGGGATCGTCGGCCGGCATTCAATCTCCGGTGGCGGGATCTCCTGAACCCGGACCCGGAGAACATCCTCGCCGTCGGATTAACGGGCTTGCTCACTTTGGCGAGCGTTCAGATCTTGGGGCAACTTTTCTTCATCTCGTTCGCCATCGTCCTTGCGGCGCTAAAGTACTCCTTTATCGCTGCCCTCCTTCTCTTCATACTGATAACCCTTCTGTGATGCACTAAACAAAGATTTTTTTTAGCATATTTTTATTTGTGTATTTGCATTTTTCTAGTGAAATTGTAGAAAATTAATGGGAATGGAAAATCTTTCTAGCATGTTGGAAATTCTTCTTCATATCAAGTTCATGAAAAGAATAAAAATCAACAAATGTTTTTTGAATGCATCTGTTTGCTTTTTGTTTAATACGGATCAGCCCTGGCCTGCGTACTAAAAATAACTGTCTTAGGAATAATTAATTACGGGCCAATCATCCCAACTTAAAAAAAAAAAATAGAGGTTCCTTTATTTCACTAAAATTCTATCTGCTAATGTTTTGAAAAGGATTCAAGGTGCTTAATCTAACTGACAGATCAAATAGGATTTAATAGGAGAAGGTGAAGTAGTCATATGTTGAATCATGGATTATATGTTCTTATATTTTAAAAAAAAAAGTTCTTATATTTGGCAATTGCTTCAGAAGGCTTGTTTAATTATCTCTATAGATTTTAGTTGCTGGTACTTGTTTGTTGTTCTACATTTCTAGCATGAATACTTGTTCGAAATTGTCAATTATCTGTCATGCTAAGGGCATCTCCAACCGAACGTCAAACATGCCTATGACATCGTTCTATCGCTCCAACCAAATGCCAAATCTTCCTCAATTTGCTTGGGGGTGAACAGTGTGTTGGCGTCACATTATTCACCTACGCGATTTTTCTCTCTCAACTGGATTTGCCGAAGAAACACACGAAAGAGGAGAAAGACGGTTACTTTCATAGAAGCGTGCAAAATGGAGTTCGATTGAGAGACTTGTTTATTTTTTAGGGCAGGTGAATTGTTAAAAGGGCGACTTGTTTATTTTTTAGTTATTTCTAACAACCAACTTGCAGAACTCGTAACTCTAAAAGCAAGATAAGATTCTTGATCAAAATGGCAAAGCTAATAAGTTGTCATCAGCTGCAATTAGAAAACTAGCAAGGTGTATTTAAGATCAATAATTTATTCCTCATACTTGCAAACCAAGCTGCACTTTTTAATTTGTTCTCATTACTAAAAACTGAGAATAAATATGAAATTCTGCAAATCAAGATTCATATCACAAAAGGAAACTGTCACGTATCAAATTTGAAAAAATCATAATTACGCATGAACCAACAAATTTTCAGAACAATCAACCAAAATAATAACCCAAAAAAATGAAAAAAATAAAGTTCCATCATATTTAGTACTATTTTCGTGCGCACAACTATAATATAATACTCAAGATGGAATGAAATCAATAATCAAATTAACATCATGCATGTATATGGTATATGGAAAAACCATGGATAGAAATAGCCCTGGGGAAAGCCAAACCATAGAAGGTAAGAAATCTTATTAGGAAATAGTGAATTAACATGAGCTATAGTGGTCAACTTGCCCACATATGGAAATACCATAGAGTGATAGAGATAACCAGCCTACTAGAGCTAAATTTCGGAAAGCTTGGCCCAAAACAGATGCTTTTTTCCCGATTTATTAAATTCTCCCAAAAGCTTAGAAGCAAGAATAATATTATCCATATAAATTCTTTTGTTTATAAAACCTATTTGACTAGGACGAATTATGTGAGATATAAGTGTGGGTCTCTGAAAGGATACTGCTTGTGGGAGTCAGAATGCGAAGCGTACGATCGTATTATTTCATATGACAAAATGGTCGTACACCTTTACAATCTACGCAAGAAGGCTAATGGAAGAGCAGATAGAATCATACAAAATTTTATTCATAAAGAATAGCGGTTGTCGCCTACAATAATAATATATATGATTCGATAATTATGAGATTTCCCTTATTTGATACATCAGCTCGAGCTGAATTTATAAATTCATTAACAAGCTCTGTGCTAAATTCCTGCTCCATGGCAATGGGAATTCCAAAAAACTTCACAATATATTTTGGAAGAACACATGCCTTCCTAGGCATGTGAGAGGTTTGGGTATTCTGGCTATCTCTTAACTATGCTTTTATCTGCTCCATCTTTGGCGCCTTACAAATGCAAATAGCCTTTTTGCAAAGTGGTGTAAAAATAAATACATCTCTCTTTCAAAAACTCCGCCACCTAAAGCTAATAAGTTCTAAAAAAATCTCATTTAAGTTACCAACCTCACTATAGAAAAGTTCTCTTTCAAGGTTAATTATAGAAGCAACCTTTCTTTTTTCCTTGGACCCTTGGCGCAATTAAAAATGTTTGTATGAATTGATGGACCCTTCCTCTCTCTCACGTTCATTGCCCCAAACATTTCAATCTTATTGTGTGCATTTGGGATAATCATTGGAATTTACCTGCTACCATTCAAAAGGTCATCTTTGCTATTTATATAATTAATGAATTTATAAACTATATCAACTGGAAAGGACTTGAGAACCCTTTTTTTTAAGTCCTTTATTCAAGGTGTAATACTCTGATGAGTTCTCTTTTTGTTTTATGCTTTAATATAATACTGTGATGAGTGGGATAAAGGCTTGATGTTGTTGTTGTTGTTGTATTGTTAATGAAATTGGGCTTCAACCTTAATTACTCTAATAAAAACTTGTCTGTAAAAGCAAGGCAGGGGCAGGAGGAAAAGACCGCAGAAAGCTCCTTAGTTATAATCCCAGGAAAAGGCAGTTGCAGCAGGAAATCGCAGAATGAACTGTCCTTCAAATTTTCATTACAAGGTCAATAAATCCAATAGGTATGGCACATCCTTAAGTTCAAATGCAATCCCCTGTTTTTTTTTGCCCAATTTCATTAACTATGGAAAATAATTACATATGAAAACAACTATCAAAATTACAATTCAACATAAAAAAATTTATAGGAATATATAACTGCGAACAAAAACATGTTACGCTTAAAACTATAATAGGAATAAAAAGAAATAAATGCATCCAAAACAAGACTTAGAATGAGCAAAAATTCACCCAATAATCAGATAAAATTGAATCATGTTAGAATCGAAAGCATCGCTTGGTTGCCATTAGACTGTTCGAGGGGATGATGGGCCATATGGGTGTAAAAGCATTCATCATTATAGATGTCAATTTTGGGCCACGGGTCGGACTTGGGTTGAATCCGAAACTAACCCAGCACTACTCGGGTCAACCCGAACTCGACCCATTTTAGAAAATGGGTCAGCTTTTCGGACTCGAACCCGACCCGCCTCGGGTTCAGTTCAACTCGAGCCGACATGAATGACCCAGGGCTGACCAAAAATTGCTTGTTTTCGGGTAAAAAATGGGTCAATCTCCGATTTTCTGGTAAAAACGGGTCAATCTCGGATTTTTAAATAAAAAATGGGTCAATTTCGGGTTTTAGGGTCAACCCGAATCCGAAATGCGGGTTTTAGGGTCAACCTGAACCCGAAATGGGTCGATTTGTTGAACCCGAATCCGACCATAAATCGACCCATTTCGGGTTTGGGTTGATCCTAACCTGAAATTTTTGGGTCAGATTTTTAGGTCGTGTCAAATATTGACATCCCTATTCATCATTGTCCTGACTAAAAAAACCTTAAAAATATCAAAGGCAACTGATAGCTTTCGGAAGTAATGTGATTTGATAGCCACACATGAAATAAATAGCCATTCCAACCAGATGAAAAGAACCTCCTCCATCAGGGGCAATGAGACGGTTGGAAGAAGTAGCTGCAGAACAGCCCACCACCAGAATAGAAAAACAAATATGACAAAACATCGGAGCAGCTCCTGTCAAGATTTCACCATCATTGTTCACATCTATAAGGTAATCACCACAATTCCACCAGAAAGAGTAGCAAGTGATCATACTGAACCCATTAGTTCACCAAACCAGGCGAAAGAAATTTGCTTGATCTCAGAAATGAGCAAGTTTCTTATTGTAATATCAAAAATCTGCTCCAGGATCGTCCAGGACGATCTGGATCGTCCTGGGACGATCAGTTGTAATTTTGCTCCAGATTTTGCCCAGTTTTGCTCCAGGTGGTTTTTTTGTACATATATTGTTGACGTGCCGAGTGTGCACA